ATATGGGGGCTATATGAAAACGTGGACCTACACGGCCCATTTACGAACTTAACCTGCCTACTGGAAAAATAAACATGTGTGCAAAATGTTAGCCATCTATCTCAATTCATTCGTAAGATAGCGTGATTACAACAGAAAGACGGACAGACAAACGGACAGCAGACAGACAGACAGACGGACATCGCTAAATCGACTTAGAATTTTACGCTGATCAAGAATATATATACTTTGTTGGGTCTGACATGAGTATTTCGAGGAGTTACAAACGGAATGACAAAGTTAATATATCCTCCATAGTATGGTGGAGGGTATAAAAATAATATTTTCAAAATACCGAATATCGGGAGGTATGATTTTTGGGTTTATACGAAGACGTGGAATTTTTTGTTATAGGTTGTAATCCTGATTAGTTCCTTCAAATACGAAATTTAAAAAAATGTTTAATGTTGCTAATATCAAAAAAGGGGCTACCGTTTTATGTGGGGAATACGAATATGCGAACCATAGACCATTTTCTGTTATAGGCTGAAGTATTCATTGAGATCTTCCAATACGAAATTCGACACAATTCCGGTCTATAATCCCGGTAAAATCATCATAATACCGATTATTGGGTGGTACCGTCATATAGGCACTATATGAAAACGTGGACCGACATGACCAATTCACGAACTTAACCTGCCTACTGGTAAAATAAAATTTTTGTGTAAAATTTTAGCCTTCTATGTCAATTCGTTTGAAAGATAGCGTGATTTCAACAGACAGAAGGACAACTCAGAATTTACAACTAATTTTGGGTCTGTCATAGGTATTTCGAGGAGAAACAGAACCCTCATATAGGTGAAGGGCATAAAAATATATTTTATATGAGAAAAGAATGATAAAAATGATACCTACACTGAATCGAAATGGCCCAGTACTACCGCGTCTAATATAACTTTCATTGTATCTCAGCAAAAATGATAGTCCGGACAACTCGCCTGAATCACGTGCCCTCCAAGGATATGAGGGGTCGATTACCTAAAAAGTGGAAAAATGGTAATTTCCTTCACTTATGCATTTATCACCAATTACCTTCATCATTTTTGAGTCCTCCGAAACAAGAGAATTGAAAACCAAACACACGCCCAACACCGTTCGCTCTCGCACAAAAAGTTTACAACAATCATATCGGGTAGTGTCGAATTCACACCAAACGAACAATTCGTTGCAACGAAACCCCATAAATAGAGCCAAATCATACAGGGAAATATCACGAATCACCGGTGGTAGGGGACCACGTTTTAAAAATTCTCCTATTGGACCTAGATAAGTGAAAGCCACATGATCCATGGCAAGCAGCAGATGATAGAAAGCTTCTCGTATCTCCTTTGTGGCATTTTTGGGAAGATATCTCTCCTCCGCCGCATGATAACGCAGCCAATTGATGTGATTGTAAGGGCACAGAGCCAAGGCGGGGAAACGTATGGCATAGATGGGTAAATGTGCCGTCTCGACCACAGTTACCAAAGGTTGTTCCTTCCGCAAACGAAACACCATCAATAGCATTGTTACGCATCCAATCGTTGCTAAAATAATCACAATTATCCAAAAGATACGTATTGGAGTACGTGTTTCCGGATTCCAAACATGTTGTATACCAGCAATGCAATCTCCACAAAATGGTGTTTGATTTTTCCACTGTTCAAACAATGATTTTCTTTTGTGTTGCGTTTTTATTCCTCCTTTATGGAATATCTGCAGACCTTTTGGATGTGGAAAATTTGTATTTTTGTAATGCGCTAATTCGTTGGGATATATCATGGCTGTTGGCTCGTGGACGCTTAATTGAAAACTGTCAACACTAACGACTCAAGGCTGTAATTGGCATCCCCAGCCTTCTAATTAAGAAATAAGTTTCAGGGGTAGGTGACAACTTCACCAGACCAAAAAATTGATTTCGATGCAAGCATACTATTATTAGTCATTAAACCAACTTTCAGGATGCTTTTTGTATATAAACCGTGAAAAGTTTTGTAGGAAAATGTACGCACTTATGGAGAAGCACAGTGTCTCAGAATGGTTTATCGCATATTTTTTCCAACAGTCGCAGTATGGAGAGCATAGAAAGTTTTGTTCTAACTGCTCGAAATAATCATTTTATTCTGTCTGTGGAAATCAAGCTTGCTTTCCAACGAAATTATATTGGTTAATAAAATTTTACTTAAATGTAATCTAATTTAAGGTTAGGGTATTAAAATGAGATATTTATATCCACGAATTGGTAGAGCCACCATATAAATTTATGTAAAGTATTTTCGGAGTTTCTACACCTTCAGCCATATGGCTACAGAGGGTATATATCATTTGAAACGGCCAAAACGTGCCTAATCGAAATGACGGATTAGTTGATCTAGCGATGTACGCCCGTCTGGCTGCTGCGAGTATCCGATTTGGACCAAACTTGATACATCGTGATATTATATCAAACTTAGGTCGAGTTCAAAGATGGGCAATATCGGTCCTTTTTTCGTACATCAATCACAATTTTCTAATAAAAAAAAAAACTATTTAACTTCACACAAAGAGAAAGGATAATCCGAATCTGCTCCAATTTGGCAAATCCAAATATTTGCATGAGTGCTAGGTCAGGTGCGAAAATGGACAATATCGGTCCACTCCATCAAGTAACTCTCCCATAGCGATTCTTTACAACTTGTTATATTTAAATATTTCTGTCAGCCAGAAAACTGAGAAGAATGTGGAATTTATGATTTCGCATAAAATTGGATATAAACGTTCGATTTTCTTGTAATTTTGCCCATACCAATATTTTTATCCGTATTAGATGAAGCATGAAAATGGAATGCATCGGTCTACTGTATGTGGTACCACACGTCCATATTAACATTTTAAAAAAATTATCACAAATCTTATATAAATTGAAGGAAGTAACCAATATACTCCAAATATGGCACTTTGCAATACTTATATCATATTTATTTAGGTCCGACTCGAATTTGACAATATTGGCACATTCGTTTGGGTCAACAATTTCAATAATCACAACACAAGTCAAAATATATTTAAATGATCGAACATAGGCTGAAGGTATAAATCTGTCGGAAAACCCGACTGATACTTTTAACTTGTTTTAGAAACGTTGTCCAAATGCTATATGGATCGATGTAAATAACCACAAAACATTCCCCTAAGATTTAAGTCAGGTACGGTTATTGGCAATATTAGGCACGTCTCAATAGACCTCCCCCACTAAGGGTAAAAATTGTTAATAATTTTTTAAAATGTGATATCAGTTTCCGATTTTCTTCAAACTGAGCAAATCTCAACATATTGGTATATGTTAGAGCAGGTATAAAAATCGAATATATCGATCAACCCAATCTGATTTTTTGGGAGATACAAATGTTCGAAAATTTCGTAAGTAAAAACATAAAAATTTATATTGAGTGATGTGAATGCATACAGGCAGAATCGAAAAAAAAAAACAATTATGGTACACTTAGTTCTATACCTGATAAATCACTTGAAGAGAAATATCCATATCCGATGTTTTAAAAAAATTTCATATCCCAATATTTTTATCTATAGGTGGCCAGACTGAGAATTGAAAATATTGGTTCACTCTTTCATGTACCTCTCTCACAAAAGTTCATATATAAAGTAAATCGAATCGAATACTAGGCCAAATTTAGGCTGTGGTAATATGTATAGCAAATTTAGGTTTGGTGTGATCATTGAAATCGTTGGCCCACTGCTCATCGTACATCCCATCAAGAGGTAAAAATTTCGAAAAATAACACTGTGCGACATTTTTCACGTCATGGTTTGGGGTGGGACATTCCAATTGTAGGTTATATTGTTCGTCTAGTAGAGCTAAATCCGAAAAAAAATTCTAGTTCCTTTGTCAAACACTTCATATAGCCTGCTTAGTATATATATACAGTGTGAGATAAAAAAACTGCAACAAAGTCAAACGCCATAATTTTTACATTTTTTTAAATTTTATTGAATGAAAGCAAAAAATGTCGGAAATAGCATCAAATTTTAGAACAAGTTTAGATTTGTTGGAATTAATCACCTATGGCACGAATTATGGCCTTCAAACGGCCTATGAAACCGTCACACGCCGCCCGAATGTTGCTCTACGGTATTTTGGTCCATTCCCGGCGAAGCGCTTGCTTGAGGTGATGGACACTTTGGCATTTTTAGTGACATCGGATTTGTATCCAGAAATTTTGGTGGCCATTGTGCGCTAGAAATGAAGCGAGGAACCTCATTTTGTAAACATTCTTGTTTGGCGCGTACTGAGTGCTGAGTCCATGGTTTGCTGCTAAAATGTTTGCGTGGCCGAGGATTTAATGCACCCTCCAGAATATTTTCGCGATGATATTCGGCATTCATTCTGATGCCACGGTCGATCAATACGAGCGGAGAGCGATCATTGGCTGTTATGGCATTCCACACCATCACCATGGCCGGCGCTTGAGTTCTGGTGGCCAACCGAAGGTGCACATCTTTAGCTGACCTCTTTGGCAAGTAAAAACGATCATATTGTTTGTTTTAAAAAACTGCTGGACAACGAATGTTTTCTCATCGGAGACGGAGAAAACCAAATTCGGCTGTTCACCACTTTCGGCCAAGCGAAGCAACTCTTCAGCTCCTTTGAGTCTATTTTCTTTCTGTTGCGGTGTAAGTTCTTGCACTTTTTTGGAATTTCAATGGCTTTACCCCGAGCTCATTTTTCAATATTTGCCGAATGGAATATTGCGATATGTTTTGCTCACGATCCATTTTTCGGCCACTGCTATGCGGGTTTCGATCAAGTCGCTTTAACGATATAGTATCGTTTTACCAAATTTTTGTAAAAATAAATGAAAAATGTTATTTGCGTAAAGTATTTTGTGACACCTGAAGATTGTAATAGTCTCTATTTCTATTGCAATATAGTGTTTTATTTATATAAATTTTAAAATTTTACACAGTAACAATATTTTTAGCTAACAATATCCAGAATTTGATAATTTGATGCCATAAATTGTGAAATCTAAAAAACTAATTAACAAAATATGAATTTATTACAATGTGTAAAGTAATATGTGACATACTGTAACAGATATGACAAAAAATTAATCCTGTACGTATTTAATTAAAAGGGGGAATAAAAATGCCTATTATTCCTTAATCACACTCAATTTTGTAGCAATTCGACGTGAGCGACGCAATTTTTTCATTCTCCTCCATAGAAATCCCAGAAACAGTCTCACGATAGCATAACATATTTCGACCAAACTCAAAACGGATGCACCCCAAAATAGTCCAAATACTCCACCAATATATCCCACCATATTGAGGAAAGTGTAACGCAATCGTGCTTCATATTTTGTAAGAGTTTTACGATTGTAGTAGATATCAATATAGATGACCGGTGCTGTGACATTTGTCGAAGTGCTGGAGAAGAAAAAATGTATGTTACTCACAAAGGAGAATTAAAACTAAAAGTATTGAGTTATTTAAAATATAGACTGCTACAATGGAATGTTTTTTTTCGCAGCATTATACTACAAAAATATTATTATTCGATTTATTTTTTATACCTGGGTACAGGTTGTGCATTGACAGCCGCCAAAAACAACAGCGATTCACAGTTATCGATGCAATCACATATCATACCACGTCCGCTTTCATTCATGTATTCGTCTTGACGAGGTCCTTTCAAGTTATTAAAATGTTCTATTTAGAAAATAAAATTTAGAGTTATAAGCAACTTTAAATAAATAGATATAAATGTATTTTCAAAGATATATCAATAACTTAGCGACTTTTCAAACTCCCCTCGTAGTTATAAATGAAATCGGGCACTCAATTCCTTCTTTTTGTGAGATAAACGTATAACTTTTTTCGAATAACTAGTCAAAATATCCTACAAAACGATTTGTCATAAATGTCAACTGTTGATAAATATTACGAGAAAATGTCGCTGGTCAAAAAGCTAAGGGTTATATCTGGGCAGTGCTATATTTCAATTCAAAATTTTTCAAAAATTAATTTTCCAAAATTTTTTCTAAATTCGAAATTATCAAATTTCATTGTGAGGCTCAGAACAAAAAATAATTGTACACTAAAAAACATCCATCATTGATTATAAAAAAGTAAAAAAAGAAGTTAAAAAGTATCAGTCGGTATTGCCGACAGATATATACCCTCAGCCTATGTTCGATTAAATAATCGAAATATATTTGACTAGTGTTACAATTATTCAACGTTTGACCCTCTATGGAGCCGGTCCCGAAGGAATGGGCCAATATTGTCCATTTCGTATCAGACTCAAATATATGATATAAATATTCCAATTACTTTATAAGAGATATGTAATAATTTTTAGAAAAATGTTAAAATGTGCGTGACGTACCAAATAGAGTCTACCGAAATATTCCATTTTTATACTTCATCTGATACAAATAAAAAATATTGAGCGGAATATGGGCCAAAATTACAAGAAAAGAAATTTATGTCAAACTTTATGCGAAATCATAAATTCCGATAAATTTCATATTCATATCAGGCTTCTTTTTTAAAGAAAAATTTTTGAGCATAGCAAGTAGTAAAGAATGGCTAAATTGATTCGACAGTTATGACAGATAAAATTATAGAAAATTGTGACCCTTTGTGAGTGAGGTACCAGAAGGGGTTCGCAGATATATATAAACTTCACAACCGATTTTGTGTTAGCAAAAATATTTGTGTGTGTGTAATTGGAAAAGAGTTGGATGATTATTTAGCTTTATCTGTGCGTTTTGTTTTTCAAAATCTTGAACCCTATGTATAGGGAAGGTACCAGAAGAAATGGTTCGATCTATACCACCTTTATAACAGATCTTGTGTTGATAGAAACATTGAGATGTGCCAAGTCTAAATGGAATCGGATCTTAATTTGGAGTTTTTTGAGCTTCATGGGTATTCAAAATTTCGACACCTTGTGGGGGAGGTACCAGAAGGAGTGGACCGATACATTCTATGTTAACACCAGATCTTGGGTTTATAAAAATATTGGAATGTGTGACATTTGAAGGCGTTCGGATCCTTACATCACATTTTATAAGAGTTATAATTATTCAAAATGTTGACCCTTTGAGGGGGAGGTACTTGATGCAGTGGACCGGTAGTGTCCATTTTAGCGCCTGACCTAGCACTGACGCAAATATTAGGATTTGCAAAGTTAGAGCAAACCCGGGTAATCGTTTCTCTTTCTGTGCAAAAAATGTATTTTATATATATTTTTTTAAAAATTTCGATCTTTTTTTGGGGGAGATACCAAAAGGAGTGGACCGATGTATTCCCTCTTAACACCAGACCTTGGGTTAACAAAAATATTGGGATCTGTGAAATTTGAAGACTATCGGACTCTTACATCACATTTTATAAAAGTTGTAAATATTCAAAATTTTGAGCCTTTGTGGGGGAGGTCCCTGATGGAGTGGACCGATATTGTCCATTTTCGCACCTGACCTAGAACTGATTATGAACTATTAGGATTCGAATAGATAGAGGAAAATCGAATTATCCTTTCTCTTTCTGTGCAATAAATTATTTTCTTTGAAAATTTTGACATTTTGTGTGGGAGTTACCAGAAGGAGTGGACCGATATTGCCCATCTCCGAACTCGATCTAAGTTTGACAAAAATATTGTGATGTACCAAGTTTGGGTCAAATCAGATACTCCCTTCGGGAGTTATCGTGCGCACCAGCCAGACAGACGGACGGACAACGGTAGATCGATTCCAAATGTTCTAAAACGGATTTGGTCCAAAGAGACCCAGGATCTAAAACCGTTATTTCGACTAGGCACGTTTTGACCGTAGAGGGTATGATATATACCCTCTATAGCCATATGGCTGAGGGTATAAAAACATTAAGTTCGAGCGTGTCCATGTGTGTCACCCACAAATACCAATTTTCAGACAAATCCATCAAAAAAATGTGGCAAAAATCTACTACTGCAGGTACCGTTATATAGGAGCTTTACATAAAATGTATCACCACCGCAGCCGAAACCCATTATGACCAACAAATACCAATTTTCAGACAAATCCTTAACAAATGTGGCAAAAATCATCAAAATACCAAAAATCGGGAGGTACCGTTATATGGGGGCTATACCAAAGCGTGGACCCATACATACAATTTTTCACCACACCAACTAGGATCCAATATGACCTACAAATAACAATTTTCATACAAATCCTAAAATAAATAATATTTAGGGATGTTACAAACGGATTGACAAAATTATTATACCCTCCTTTCCAAGGTGGAGGGTATAAACATTTTTCTGAATTCACTGCACAGGTGCAACAGCTAGTTTGGGATGCGGGTGGACTTAAGTGGTTTTAATAGTATTCGGTTTATAGATGAAAACCCCTACTCAGTTTGTGGTCATATTGCGTTATGGGCTTTTATATAACCTTAACCTCCATATTTTGAACTTTAATATTTCGTAGTATTCACAACATATAGAGCTTTAGAATTTTATTTTGAGCTTTGGATAACCTCAAGAATTATTGTTGGGCCCTTTTTTTATTTAGCCCCATTTAAAGAAAAATGGTCATTTGAGGAATTTTTTTCGTTTTAATCATATTTTCCATCTAGCTCTTTCAATTTTTTGTTTTGTTTCTTTAATTGTAAATATGAAGAAAATCCCTTGCGGAATATTATCAATATAAGTCCACGTTTCGGTATAGCCTTTATAAATGATCTTCTAAACGATTTGACTCTAACTCGGTTTCTCAAGGCCTCTTGCTGTAAAATTCTACATATGTCAAATTTTTTGAGTAGCGCCTAAATGGGATCCTATTAATTTATCTTTTTTTCGAGGTCGTTAAAAATTTCAGAGAATTTTCAACGAATTTGGAAAAATTCTTATCTTAAAGGGGGAGGTACCAAAAAGGGTGGACCGATTTGTATCATTCATTAGTAAAAAATGTGGTATAGTGAAATTTCAAATAATTGTAGGCTTATTTCGCATTTTATAATCGTTCAAAATTTTTCGCGGTTTACGAGCGTTATTTCAAAATGTTAGTAATTTAAAAAATTATAATTGTTCCAAATTTTGACTCTTTTTGGGGAAGGTACGTGATGGAGTGGGTCAATATTGTCCATTTTAACACCTGACCTTGCATAGACAAAAACAATATGATTTGCATAGTTGGTACACAAGCGAATGATCCTTTCTCTTTATATCAGTTAAATTATTTGATTTTCAAATGTTGACCTTTGGTTGGGGAGGAACCAGAACGAATGGACCGATATTGCTCATCTCCCAAATCGATCTATGTTTGACAATAATATTACAACGTACCAAGTTTGGGCCTATTCGGTTGCCCCTTTCTAGAGTTATCGTGCAAACCAGCCAGACAGGAAGACAGACAGTTAACGAACAGACGGACACTCTTAGATTGGCTTTAAATTTCCTGAAATGTATTTGGTTCAAAGAGACCTAGGGTCTAAAACCATTATTTCGATGAGGGACATTTTGGCCGTAGGCACATGGCCGAGGGTATAGTTAGAAATCATATTTGGGACACAATTTTTTTGGTTCGCGTTCACTTTCATACCGTCATACAGGAAAAGTCCTAAGTGTGACGGATTATAATTGAGCTCTTTAAATAAAGGTTGTTGTGAATTTCGTTTTATTTCAAATAACTATTAGAGAGGTTGAAAAAAAATTAGAATATGACTCCGTTTGCTTACCTTTATTTCTGTACAGACAATCTAAATCCGATACTTTACATTCATCAGTTTTGAATTCTCCTAAAAAATAAATAATTTTAGAAAATAGAATACGTAGATGGTGCAAAAATAATAAAGAAATTAAAAATACATTCGGCACTCACAAGTACTCTTGTACAGCAAGACTGTTGGGTTTAACCCCCTAATATTTAAGCAGTAAGAAAATAAGAGAATTCCATACTATTTAGACTTTGAACACATTTGGGGCACTTTAGATCAGACGGAGATATACAGTGACAGCTCGTTTTCTTTATACTTGGCTGGAAACTCACAAGTGGCTATCGTTAGAGCACTCCAGCATTTAAAGGTGAATAAATCTTTTATGTCTCGTACCATCGCTCGTTACCGTGATAATGGTAGCGTAACCCGACGTCATGGAAGTGGAAGAAAGAAAACAGCAACATAAACAGAAATGGTTCGAAAAGTAAAGAAGCGACTTGATCGAAACCCGCGTTGCAGTGGCCGAAAAATGGCTCGTGAGCTGAACATATCGCAATATTCCATTCGGCAAATATTGAAAAATTAGATCGGGGTAAAGCCATTGAAATTCCAAGTTACACCGCAACAGAAAGAAAATAGACTCAAAAGAGCTAAAGAGTTGCTTGGCTTGACCGAAAGTGGGGAACTTCCGAATTTGCATTTCTCCGATGAAAAAACATTTGTTGTCCAGCAGTTTGTAAACAAGCAATATGATCGTGTTTATTTGCCAAAGAGGTCAGCTGAAAATGTGCACCTTCGGTTGGCCACCAGAACTCAAGTGCCGGCCATGGTGATGGTGTGGGTCGCCATAACAGCCGATGGTCGCTCTCTGCTCATATTAATCGACCATTGCATCATAATAAATACCGATTATTATGTCGAATATATTCTTAAGGGTGTATTAAAGCATTGGGCACGCAAACATTTTGGCCGCAGACCTTGGACATTCCAACAGGACTCAGCACAAGCCACTCAAGAATGGTTACAAAATGAGGTTCCTCGCTTCATTTCCAGCGCACAATGGCCACCAAAAACTCTGGTTACCAATCCGTTGAACTATTGTGTCTGGAGTATTTTGTAAAGCAGGGTTGGCACTAAAAAATACCAAAGTGTCGATCACCTGAAGCAAGCGCTTCGCCGGTAATGGGTCAATATACCGCAGAGCAACATTCAGGCAGCAGGTGGGTTTCATTGGCCCTTTGGAGGCCATATTTCGTGCCAAAGTTAACCAATTCGAACAAATCTAAAACTATTCTAGAATTTGATGTTATTTCCGACATTTTTTGCTTTCATTCAATAAAATTTAAAAAAAAAAATAAAAATTATTGCGCTTGACTTTGTTGCAATTTTTTCATCTCACCCTGTCTGAGAGTTACATCCAAATCTGAACCAATTTTGAAAATCAAAAATTAGACTTCATTTTTTTACTGGATTTGCATTTGTTTAAATATCAAATATATCTAACCCGAATTTCTTGATTCTAGACACGAAGATGTATATAGGAGCTATAACGAAATTTGAACCGATTTAACCAATTTAAAAAGTCCGTCCTTAATAAAACGATCTACACAAATAGCCATAGCAATCGGGAAATAAATAAAAAAAATTCACTTACGCAGTTCCGGAAAATACAATGTCATTGAGCAGTTACAATAGTCTATAACATGTCGATGTTGACAATAGGTTTGACAGTTCAATTTGTTATAAGGAAATCCCTCCAGTCGGCTATATTTTGTTGATTTCTCATTCTACGAAAAAAAGTAAAATAATACTTCTTTTAAATGTATAGTTCCCGACAGCTAGTCTCACCCAAAATAAACAATTACGTCTTTCCGGTTCGATGATTCTAGCCTCTGATGAAGTCTCAGTTAGTGTTGGTGATATCATTACATCCGAATGGGTATTGGGATAGAATGTATGATGAAATTGCTGATTCCATTCTTCGGCTTGTTTTACCAATAGCTGCCAGAAATAGTGCAATTTTTTTAGAGATGTAGATTTTCTAACGAAAAAACAATACTTACAGTGACTCGAAATGGTATGGTACTATTAGGTCTAACATAACTTTCATTGTGCCTCAGCATAACCGTTATACCGGACGGTTCGCCTGAATCACGTGCCCTCCAAGGATAACTGGGGTCGGTTAACTGGAAAATTCAAAAATTGTTATTTAAAAATAAACCTACGTTTCACACTCCGTATTTAAATAAAAACCAGTGAAGAAAGTCTTAAAGTCGGGCGGGGCCGACTTTATGATACCCTACACCACTTTGCTAATTTAGTAGAGCTCCACATAACAATTAAAAGTTTTTTAGCGTGTACAATCATACATGCTATGATTATAATTATAATTTAAAGTTCAAAGGACTAAATATGCCGAAGCATTTGTATCTTTTAAATTCGGAATTGTATTGCCCATTTGGTGCACAATTAATTTGAAATCGGATAAAGATATATATGGGAGCGATATCCAAATCTGAACCGATCTCGATAAAATTTGGCAAAGATATTTCTGAGCTGTATTTGATATATTTCCCTGAATATCGTTGTTACGAAGTGTGTATTACGGTTGTTGGTAAAAATATAACAAATCGGATGAATAATATATATAGAAGCTATATCTGAACCTATCTTCACCAAATTTGACATACTAGCTTCTAAACTCAATTCGGTCGTAAGTGCCAAATTCCATCCCATTTGGACAAATATTAGACGTTTGGTGCACAATAAAAGGTAAATCGGACGATGTTATATATGGGAGCTATATCCAAATCTGAACCGATCTCGATAAAGTTTAGCAAATGTATTTCTGAGCTGTATTTGATATATTTCTCCAAATATTGTTGTTGCAGAGTGCATATTACGGCGGCGGTGGACAAAATTAACAAATCGGATGAACAATATATATGGGAGCTATAGCTATATCTGAACCAATTTCGATCAAATTTGGCACACATATTTTCAGGCCTAATTTGGGTGTATATGCAAAATTCCATACAATTCGGGCTGATATTACACGTTTGGTGCACAATAAAAGGCAAATCGGACGAAGATATATATGGGAGCTATATCTAAATTTAAACCGATTATCTCCAATTTCAATAGGTTTCGTCCTTGGGCCAAACAAATGATCTGTGTAAAATTTCATCTGGATCGGGCAATAAATGCGACCTGTACTTTGTTTACAAAAATACATGGACAGACGGACGGACGGACATGCATAAATCGACTCAGAATATGATTCTATGCAGATCATCAAAAGGAACTATTGGTCTATCTCGTTTCATTTTGCCTGTTACAAACAAATGCACAAAGACATAATACCCTGACCACCTTGTGGTGTAGGGTATAACAAGTAAGCAAAGGCTATAGTCGTGCGGGGCCGACTATGTTATACCCTACAACACTTTTTTTTATACTTTTATGACAGGAGGGCATTCTAACTTTACAAAATTTGTCAAAATCGGTTTAGCCGCTCTTGAGATATAAGCATTATAGCTAACATCCCCTTCCTTTTTTTATACACATTGTATATATTTCGCTATATATATATCTGTCTATATATATATCTGATATATTTAATATCGGCGTTTACGTAACGGTCAGAATTGACCTGTTCGTCTATTTGTGATTTCGCCGGGATTAAAAATATTCGCCGTTTAATGAAAATTTGACTTTTATTTAACACAAGTGTCAAAATTGGAAGGCTTCTGTCTAAGCTCTAGGCCCATGCTAACTTCTGCTTTGATTGGTCTATAATTGCGACCTGTAGAGCAACTGCAAAATCAGGATTTTTTTCAGTTTTTGCTCCATTTCAACCCCTATATATTATGCAATCATCCCCAAAAGAAATGGGGTTCTATTCTGACCCTAGTCCAACTTCCATTCAAAATTTCGTGAAGATAGGACCATAATTGCGACCTGCTTAGTGATTACAAATTAACATGGACAGACGGACAGACGGACATACATAGCTAGATCGACTCAGCTCGGCGAGCTGGGAAGATCGATACATACTTTCCTATGTGGGAAACCAATATTTCGTGGTGTTACATAATTTTTGGCCCAATCAAACTTATAATACCCCCAACACATAGTGTTGTAGGGTATAAATAGTAGATTTTCACTTTATCGTTTACTTATTTCATCCAAACTCATTACTCATTCAACCCTCATCTTTTGAATTACCTGTATCTTTTTTGAATCTTCCGAAACGAGAGAGTTGAAAACCAAACACACGCCGAGCTCCGTACGCTCTCGTATAAAAATCTTACAACAATCATATCGGGTAGTGTCAAATTCACACCAAACAAATACTTCGTTGCAACGATAAGCCATGAATTGGGCCAGATCATGCAGGGGAATATTACGAATCACCTGCGGTGGGGTTCCACGTTTTAAAAATTCTCCTATTGGTATGAGATGGGTGAAGGCCACATGTTCCATGGCCACCAGTAGATGATAGAAGGATTCTCGTATCTCCTTTGTGGAATTTTTGGGAAGATATCTCTCTTCAGCTGCATGATAACGCAACCAATTGATGTGATTGTATGGACACAGAGCCAAGGCGGGGAAACGTATGGCATAGATGGGTAAATGTGCCGTCTCCACCACGGTTGCCAATGGTTGTTCCTTCCGCAAACGAAACACCATCAACAACATCAATATACAACCTATGGTAGCTGCAATAATCACAATTATCCAAAAGATACGTATTGGAGTACGTGTATCAGGCTTCCACACGTGTTGTATGCCAGCAATGCATTCTCCACAAAATGGTGTTTGATTTTTGAATTTTTCAAACCATGATTTTGTTTTGTGTTGCGTTTTTACACCTTTGTTGAAGATTTGCAATCCATGAGGATGTTCGAAATTTGTATTTTTATAATGTGCCAATTCCTTAAGATATATCATGGCTATTCATTTGGTGAAGTACACTTGTCCACCAGCAATTTGTACTGTCCAAAGTTTTGTAGAAAGTCGACAATTTCCGATGTTAGAAATTCACCTACATTTGACAAATATTGGAATAGTTATAAAGTTTTTTCCAACTTCATAAAACGGACGAATTTACTAAGTTTCAGTGTTGGCTATTATTATTTTTGACCTTTAATTAAAAGTACACGCTTTGTGGTATCAGTATACATACACTCACGTTTGTGCGTAAATTAGTGACCAGCACCAGGAAAATATATTTATATGCCTGTCTACTCTGCAAGCAAAAAATATTCCTGGGGTGACTTAAAAGTCACTCAAAGGTATAGAAATAATCGCGGATAATATTGAGTGACTAAATACTGTTTAAAAATCAGTAAATCACTTCCGCGTCAATTATTAGAACTAAAAAAAATTCAAGTAAAAAAGCAGTAAGTTCGGCCGGGCCAAGCTTCGAATACCCTCCACCATTAGGAACGAATTTGGGAATTTTCAAAAAAATAAAATCCGTTAAAATTTGCGTTTTTATCTTAAAAATACCGAATATAAGCGTTATATAGGGGTCTATACGAAGACGTCGATCTGCATAGGCAATTTTGTCATAAGCCATTACAATATTCACATACGAAACATGAAAAACCGGGAGGCACCGTTATATCGGCTTAGACAATTTCAAATACGAAATTTCAAACAATTTCAGTGAGTTTTGTACCTAAAATCATCGAAATACCTAATATATGAGGCCTATAAGAAGACCTGGACCTGCATAGACTGTAGTTCCCATTACGAACTCTAAATACGAAATTTGAAACAACTCCGGTGAATAATGTCCCTGAATTGGCCAAAATATCGAATGTTGGGAGGTACCGTTGTATGTGGGCTATACGATATAGTGGACCTATATAAAATTTCTCTTAAAGGGGATAAAGTGCTTACAAAGAACTTCTACTTCAACTTCTATCGTTGTTCGTTTTGACAACAGACGGTCGGTCGACTTATTTACGCTGATCAAGAATACACAGGGTGAGATAAAAAAACGCCACAATTTTTACATTTTTTCTTAATTTAATTGAATGAAAGCAAAAAATGTCGGTAATAGCATCAAATTTTAGAATAAGTTTAGATTTGTTTGAATTGGTCACCTTTGACACGAATTATGGCCTTCAAACTGCCAATGAAACCGTCACACGCTGCCCGAATGTTGCTCTGGGGTATTTTGGCCCATTCCCGGCGAAGCGTTTGCTTGAGGTGATCGACACTTTGGTATTTTTTTGTGCCAACCTGGCTTTTCAAAATACTCCAGACACAATAGTCCAACGGATTGGTATCCGGAGATTTTGGTGGTCATTGTGCGCTGGAAATGAAGCGAGGAACTTGATTTTGTAACCATTCTTGGTTGGCGTGTGCTAAGTGCGATGGTGCTGAGTCTTGGTGGGATGTTCAAGGTCTGCGGCCAAAATGTTTGCGTGCCCAAGGCTTTTATACATCCTCAAAAATTTTTGGGCAAATATTATTCGGCATTTATTTTGATGTTACGGTTGATTAGTACGAGCGGAGGGCGACCATCGACTGTTATGTCAGCCCACTCCATCACCATTGCCGGCGCTTGAGTTCTGGTGGCCAACCGAAGGTGCCCATTTTCAGCTGACCTCTTTGGCAAGTAAACAAGATCATTTTGTCTGTTTACAAACAGCCGAACAACGAATGGTTTCTCATCGGAAAAACCAAATTCGGCAGTTCACCACTTTCAGCCAAGCGAAGCAAATCTTTAGCTCTTTTGAGTCTATTTTCATTCCGTTGCGGTGCACTTTTTGGAATTTCAAGGGCTGTACCCTGAGCTCATTTTTCAATATTTGCCGAATGGAATATTGCGATATGTTCAGCTCACGAGCCATTTTTCGGCCACTGCGACGCGGTTTTCTATCTAGTCGCTTTTTTTATTTTTCGAACCATTTCCGCTGATTTTGCTGTTTTCTTTTTTTTTCCATCGACTTCCTTGACGCCAGGCGAGCGATGGTACGAGACACAAAATATTTATTCACATTTAAATGCTGAATGCTACTTGTGGTTTTCCAGCCAACTATAAAGAAAACACACTATCACGCTTGAATTCCATCACGAATAATATTTTTCTGGAAAACTCTCACCAAAATGCTTTTGTATGCTTGTAAACAATATAAAGAACTGTCGGACGAGTGGCTTAGATATGACAGCTGTCTGAAGTTGGTTGGAGTTATGTCTAAAATTATTATTTCAATGGGTTATAAAAAGTATGACGAACTTAATTTATTTCCATCCAAAGCGAGAACTGCACCACAGTGTCATATAATTCTCATATAGAAATATGACTTATAGGTTTCCAAATATAAAATAAGAATCAACTGTAGCTATTGTTTGTGTAATGTACCAAAAATGTCCTTTTACCTTCCTTGGTGCCACTAATTAGCGAATCTTTGACGATATTGTAAATGTACAAACTATCGAATTTATCAGCCAAGAAGCGTCACTGAAGTGGCGTTAGAGTGAGAAACTCACTTATAAATTCTTGCAATGGCATTCTCCTCAAAGAAGCATAAATATGTTCTACCGATAGCATCCGCATACTGATGGTAGGGCAATAGCACGGCTAATTATATTATGTAGCTTCTAATCCAGTAAGAATTTGTAAAGAAAATTAATCGCGAAAGTATAGATAAAAATAAAGACTCGTGTATTGTCGTTTTTAAAGTTCACAATGCAAAGTATCCTAAATAAGGAAAACCCCTAAACTTTTAGGAAATTTTCGGGTTACGATTTGGTGAAATATTAACTATAATTATTATTAAAACAAGTAAGCAAAGGCTATAGTCGTGCGGGGCCGACCATGTGATACCCTACAACACTACAATATGTTAGAAGCCCCCTTATGTCCAAATCCATTTTGGAAGATTTCGCTTTTGAAATTATGTGACGGAATACTGCCCAGATATTACCCTTAGCATTTTGACCAGGGACATTTGCCCAATATTTACGCACTCCGTCGAATTTTGCGATCATCTCCAAAAGCAAGAGGCCCCTCTGTATCTCCAAATTTAGACTCTTCTATACTATCTTCTTGTCTACGATATTTGGCTATATTCGTCAACGAAATCATCAAAAAAAGGCAGAAGTTCACATTTTTGAAATTATGTGACGGAATACTGCCCAGATATTACCCTTAGCATTTTGACCAGGGACATTTGCCCAATATTTACGCACTCCGTCGTATTTTGCGATCATCTCCAAAAGCAAGAGGCCCCTCTGTATCTCCAAATTTAGACTCTTCTATACTATCTTCTTGTCTACGATATTTGGCTATATTCGTCAACGAAATCATCAAAAAAAGGCAGAAGTTCACATTTTTGAAATTATGTGACGGAATACTGCCCAGATATTACCCTTAGCATTTTGACCAGGGACATTTGCCCAATATTTACGCACTCCGTCGTATTTTGCGATCATCTCCAAAAGCAAGAGGCCCCTCTGTATCTCCAAATTTAGACTCTTCTATACTATCTTCTTGTCTACGATATTTGGCTATATTCGTCAACGAAATCATCAAAAAAAGGCAGAAGTTCACATTTTGTGTATATCGGCTATCGCCTGTAAGTAATGTTGGTATTTTTCAGACAAAAGTAGTGGTCCATTCTACCCGCTGTCCAAAACTCTAACTATATGCGAGATTTTGTGTACTTTGGTTTCTATTTATGACCTTTATAACGGCTGCAAAATCAGGAACATTTTTAGTTGCTGGTCCATTTCAACCCCTAAATATATTGCGGACATCTCGAAAACAAAAGGCCCAGCCCTTCTGAGCCTAACCCTACCCTTTTCGTGAGGATCGGACGATAATTGCAATCTGTATATAATATCCCAAACTTGTGTTGTAAGGTGGAAAAATATTACAAAATGTACACCTTAGTCAAATTGAAAAAATCGCATGCGATAAAAAAAATGAAAAAATAAAAAAATGTCACAAAATACTACAAACTCTATATTAACATAATTTATGACTTATTTTTTGCGATTTTTTTAGATTTTATACTTTTATGTCAAGAGGGCTCTCTGAATTGTCAAAATCGGTCCAGCCATTCTTGAGATATAAGCATTCCATCTAACATTCCTTTCCTTTGTATATACACATTGTATATATTTCGCTATATATATCCGATATATTTACTATCGGCATCTACGTAACGGTCAGAATTCACCTTGTTCACTTTCATGAAGTGTCGAAATCTGGGATTTCTGTTGCTGACGTCAAACCATCAGATACAGGATTAATCTGGCTACGTTACTTGAAGCTTGGGATATTTTTTGCCTGGTTGATAAATGGCGCACTCGCTAGAATGGATCCAGCGAGCACTCAAACATTTGGTCAAAGAATGTTTTTGGTTGGTTGTTTTTTAATCGTTGAACCGAAAAGACGTCCGTATCGAAAATAAATTGAATTAATGTTTTCAAACTAACTTTTTTGAATTAATAGCATTTATAATTGTTGCACAAGAAAAAATAAAACGGAAAGTGAAAACATTTTCAACACAAAGTGTTAAAATAAATGCGTTTTTTATTTTATTTCAAAGTTCCTGATTTTGCTATCGTTGTTTCCCGCTGTGCTTCGGCGGTGATTGCATTGTTGTTTTTCTTAATTTGCCAAGTTTTTGTTTGAGACAAAAACACACCTGTTCGTCTATTTATGATTTCGCCGGGACTAAAAATATTCGCGGTATAATGGAAATGTTATAGTCTTTTTCACCCACTAAATATTACCCGATGACCATCAAAATTGGAAGGCTTCTGCCCCGCCCGAAGCTTTAGCCCCATGCTAATTTCCAGGATCAGGATCAGGATTTTTTCAGTTTTTGGTCCATTTCGACCCCTAAATATTGTGCGATCATCTCCGAAAGAAATAGGGTTCTATTCTGACCTTATCCCCACCTCCATTCTAAATTTCGTGACGATCGGGCCATTATTGCGACCTGTAGAGTGATTACAAATTAACATGGACAGACGGACGGACGGACATACATAGCTAGATCGACTCAGCTCGGCGAGATAGGATGATCCATATATACTTTCCTATGTGGGAAACCAATATTTCGAGGTGTTACATAATTTTTGGCCCAATCAAACTTATAATACCCCCAACACATAGTGTTGTAGGGTATAAATATTAACCCTCATCCGAGTCACCATATAGACATTTTTGGCCCATTTTCTAATTTTCGGATTACGATTCGATGGATTTCCTCCATTTTGGTATTTCGAATACATTATTTTTGTCGAAATTGTTAACCGTCAAGCGAGACACGAAAGGGGTCCTTTTGGTCCATTTATTTCAAAACGGTTAAAAAAATGTTCTTAAACGGGATTGTGCGAGTCTAAATAACTTCTTCCTTCATTGACTTTTACGTGCCTGCTATTTTAATACCTTTATCATAGTATGGAGAATACATTAAGTTTGTCATTCCGCTCGTAACTCCACGAAATATATACATTTTAGAACTTTTATAACTTCTGAATCAGCATAAAATTATGTGTCGATTTAGTGGTGTCCGGCTGTGGAAACTAGTCTTTCTTCCGAACGAAATGAAGTAGGTTGATATAATTTTACTCAGATGTGTTTTGGTTCTGCAGTAATTTTGGGATATATAGGACCACATATCAGTATAGCCCCTTTATAACTGTACCGGCAGATTTTGCTCTTTTGACTGTTTAATTCGCAATTTTAAACCCAAATTTGCTATTAGTTGACTGGCAGTTTGTGTTCCCAGTATAAAGGCAAAATCCTGCATAGAACTGTCCATATAGTTCCAAGTTTTGGTATAGCCGAAATTAGGTGATTTTTATACACTCAGCCATCTGGCTACAGATGGTATATATCATTTGATGCGGCCAAAACGTGCCTCATCGAAATAATGGTTTTAGACCCTAAATCTCTTTGGGCCAAATCCGTTTAAGGGCATTTGGATTCGATCTAGCGATGTCCGTCCATCTGTCTGTCTAGCTGGTGTGCACGATAACTCTCTCGAAGAGAGTAACCGATTTGGTCCAAATTTAGTATATCGTAATATTATTATCAAACTTCGATGAAGTTCGGAGATGGGTAACATAGGTTCCCTTCTTTTGGAACACCCACCACAAAGGTCGAAATTTACAAGAAAGGACTCTACTGCACAGAAAGAGAATGGATGATCCGACTTTGCTCCAACTTTACAATTGCTAATGTTTCCATCAGTGCTAGGTCAGGTGCTAAAATGGACAATATCGGTCCACTCATCAAGTACCTCCCAAAAAAGGGTCAAACTTTTAAAACTCTTATAAATAAAATAAAATGATAAATAAGCATCCGACTCTCTTCAATTTTCACACCTCCCAGTATTTCTAGTAACATCTGGTTTGTATGTCCTCCCCCACAACGGGTCAACATTTTGAATAACCATGAAGATCATAGGGCGCAAACTGATTCCTTTTAAACTCGGCACACCGCAATGTTTCTATCATCACAAGATCAAGTGTGAAAATGAAATGTGTCGGACAATTCTTTCTGGTACCTCCCCCACAACGGGTGAAAACTTTGAAAAATTACATATCTCATAAAATGCGCATATCTCATATCGGATTCTCCTGAAATTTCACAAATCACAATATTTTTGATAACACAAGATCCGGTGTGGATATAGGACATATCGCACCACTCCCTCTGGTACCTTCCCCACAAAGGGACAAAATGTTGGATAATTATATTTCTCAAGCGTTCGAAACAATTCAGTGATTCTTTCCAAACTTATTTTATATAAATAATTCTCTCAAAGAGAAAGAGAATATCGCTTCTACCAGTATCACGGTAACGAGCGATGGTACGAGACACAAAAGATTTATTCACATTTAAACGCTGGAGTGCTCTAACGCTAGTCACTTGTGGTTTTCCAGCTAAATATAAAGAAATCACACTATCGCGCTTGAATTCCATTATGAATACCTTTTTTCTGGAAAATTCTCACCAAAATGCTCTTGTACGCTTGTAAACAATATAATGAGCTGTCACTGGAATAATTTTAACAGCTGTCAGACGAGTGGCTTAGAAATGACAGCAGTCTGAATTTGGTTGCATTTTCTTCATCTCATCCTGTAATAGGTATTTCGTTCAACTTTTTTAAATTTTTTTAATAACCATTATTCCATATAATTGTAAATTAATATTAATTTTTTTTAAGTTTTGCATATTCCAATATTTTTATCAGTATAAGATGAAGAGGAATGCTTCGGTCCAATTTATCTGGTACATTGCACACATTTGAACATTTTCCAAAAATCATCACATATCTCATATAAAGAAGAGAAAGTAGTCGATATAGGTCACATCTGGCGCCTTGTAATAATTGTATTAGACTTATATAAATTGACATTATTGGACAACCCTTTGGGAACCTCCTTCATAAATGGTCAAAGCTTGAATAATCATAACACAAGTCAAAAATATATAAACAAATCGAAATTGACTGAGGGTATACATCTGTCGGCGGTATACATCTGTTTTAACTTCTATAATTTTTATTTATTATAATTTTATTTATTATAATTGCTTTTTTTTTTAAGACAAATTTCATTTTATTACAAAGAATTGAATTCGAATTTGTATATCCTATCTGACACCCGGTAAAAATATTGTACGATATTGAAATATTGAACTTATTATTATTCATAAATAACATTCAATGTTGTTGCAATGCGGCGTGTCCGGCGTATTGTATTACATTTCTTCCATATGAATCCAATAATAAACCTCATGATAGCATAAACCATTTCCACCAAACTTAAAACCGATGCACCCCAAAATAGTCCAAATACGCCACCAATATATGCTGTCATACTGAGAAAAGTGTATTCCAAACGGGCGGCATATTTTGTAAGAGTCCTACGATTATAGTAGACATGAACGTAGATTACAGACGCTGACTTTTTGGGCAGAAGACTGAAAGCAAAAAATATTTTTTTTAGTAATTTAAAAAAAAAAAAACAATTTTTTCAACATGGTGTTAATAAATATTTTTATTCAGGCTACCTGTGAATGGGTTGAGTATTAACGGCCACCAGATATATCAAGGACTCACAATTATCTATGCAATCACATATCATGCCTCGGCCATTCTCATCCATATATTGATCCTAGCGAGGTCCTTTTAGGTAATTAAAATTTTCTGTTTCAATGAAATAAGAAAAAATAGTGATTGATTTGTAAATAAATGTTAAAATGTAAACTCGCCTCTATTTCGGTACAGACAATCCAAATCTGATACTCTACATTCCTTTAAACTATATCCACCTACAAAAAATGATTATTATTTGTTTCTAATTTAATTAATATTAATTCATATTCACTTATTTCAGGGAAATATAATGTCATCGAGCAGTTACAATAGTTAATCACGTGTCGATGTTGGCAATAGGTCAGACAATTTAATTTGTTATACGGGAATCCCTCCAGTCGATTATATTTCGATGATTTCTCATTCTACAAAGAAAGAAAAAAATGACAAAAATTAAGTCAATATTCAAGTATTACTTTTTCGACACTTAGTCAATGTCATACTTTGGCGTTCCATATGAAATTTGTATTTTTGTTTTTTTTTTTTTCAAATTGCTTTGAGGTGACTTAAAATTGTGTTTATATTTGTAACTGAAATTGTTAACAATAACATATGTATTTGCTCTGCCTGAAAAAGAAGTTGACTTTGGAACAAAAACCAGTTAAAAAATATTAGTAGGTTTTACCGACAGATATATACCCTCAGTCAATGTTCGATTATTTAAATATATTTTGACTTCTGCTATAATTATTCAAATTGTTGACCCTCTATGGAGTAGATTCCGAAAGTATGGGACAATATTGTTCATTACGTATCGGACGTAAATAAATATGATATAAATATTGCGATGTTCCAGCTTTGGACTACATTTTCAGAAAATATTAAAATGTGCTTGAGGTACAAGACATAGTCGACCAAAGTATTCTATATTTCATCTAACACAGATAAAAATATTGCTAGGGGCAAAATTACAAGAAAATCGAACATTTATAACCAATTTTATGCGAAATCATAAATTCCATATTCATCTTAGATTTCTGGTTGAGAGAAATATTTAAATATAGCAAGAGCTTCAGGAATATTAAAAATTTTTACTCTTTGTGGGGAAGATTCCAGAAGGAGTGAAAGGATATATCACATCTTCACAGTAATTAGAAATAATGGGATGCCTGAAATATGAAGAGAACTGGATGCTTATTTCGGATTTTATAATCGTTTTGGTTATTCAAAACTGCGGCCCTTTATGGGGGAGGTACCAGAATAGATGGTCAGATCTCTACCATATTTATAACAGATCTTGTGTTGATAGAAATATTAAGATGTGTCAAGTCTGAATGGAATCGGATGTCAACTTCGCGTTTTATGAACTTCATGGATATTTGAACCTTTGTGGGTGCGGTACCAGAACGACGGGACCGATGTCTTCCATCTACACAGCAGACCGTGTGTTAGTAGAAATAATGAGATGTGTGAAATATGATGAGATTCGGATGCTTATTTCGGATTTGATAATCTTTGGTTGTTCAAAACTTTGACCCTTTGTGGGCGAGGTACCACACGGAGTGTTCCGAGCTCTACCATATTTATAATAGATCTTTTGTTGATGGAAATATTAAGATATGCCAAGTCCGTTTTTGAGTTTCATCGATATTCAAAACGTTGACCATTTGTGGGGGAGGTACCAGAAGTAGAAAACCGATGTCTCCTACCTTCCCAGCAGCTCTTGTGCTATTTGAAATAATGGGATGTGTGAAATATGAAGAGAATCGGATGCGTATTTCGGTTTTTTAAACGTTTTAGATATTCAAAACGTTGACCCTATATGGGGTAGCTCCCAGAAGGAATGGTTCGATATCAACCATCTTTAAAACAGATCTACAGAACAGATTTGCCAAGTCCGAATATAATCGGATGTTAATTTCGCGTTTTCTGAGTTTTATGGGTATTCACAATGTTGGCCCTTTTTGGGGGAGGTACCAGAAGGAGTGGACCCATATATTCCATGTTCACTGCAGATCTTGTGCTATATGAAATATGAAGAGAACCGGATGCTTATTTCGGATTTTATAATCGTTTTGGTTATTCAAAACTTATGACCCTTTGAGGGGGAGGCACCAAAAGAAATGGTCCGATCTTTACCATAATTATAACAGATCTTGTGTTGATAGAAATATTGAGATGTGCCAAGTATAAATGGAATCGGATGTTAATTTTGCGTTTTATGATCTTCATGGATATTAAAAATTTTAACCTTGTGGGGGAGGTATCAGAAGGAATGGTCCGATCTCTACCATATTTATAACTAAACTTTTGTTGATAGAAATATTGAGAAGTGGCAAGTCTGAATGGAATCGAATGTTAATTTCGCGTTTTATGAGCTTCATGGGTATTCGAAATTTTGACCCTTTATAGGGGAGGTACCAGAAAAAGTGGGTCGACATATTTTACCTTCACACCAGTCCTAGGGTTAATAAAAATATTGTGATGTGTGTAATATGAAGATAATAGGGCTATTACATCACATTTCATAAGAGTCATAATTATTCAAATTTTTGAGGGGAGGTATTTGATGTAGTGGACCGATATTGTCAATTTTCGCACATAATCTAGCACTGATGCAAATATTAGAATTTCCAAAGTTAGAGTAAAATCGGATTATCCTACCTCTTTTCGTACAGTATTTTTTTTTACATTTCGACCTGTACCTGTACCTATATTGTACCTATATTGCCCATCTCTGAACTCGTTCTAAGTTTTACAAAAATATTCTGATGTACGAAGTTTGGACCAAACTGGATACTCCCTTCGAGAGCTATCGTGCGCACCAGCCAGACAGACAGACGGACGGACATCGCTAGATCGACTCTAAATGTCCTGAAACGAATTTGGTCCAAAGAGACATAGGGTCTAAAACCGTTATTTCGGCACGTTTTGGCCATATCAAAAGATATATACCCTCTCTAGCCATATGGCTGAGGGTATAAAAAGAGCTTACCGAAAAACCTAGGATATCACCTATATCTCATGGAACGCTTCAGTATGATATCGACTATATGTCTGTATCCTATTTTCAAGCCAACCTTACCCAAAATAAACAATTACGTTTTTCTGGATCAATAAGTCGAGCCTCCGATGCAGTTTCGGTTAGTATCGGTGTTATCATGACATCAGCATTGGTATTGGGATAGAAATGATGATACAGCTGTTGTGTCCATTCTTCAGATTGTTTGATCAAAAGCTATAACCACAAATAATGAAACTGTTACAGAAGAATTTCCCGTTCAACGGGTTTCAAAATATACTTACACTGAATCGAAATGGAGCCGTACTATTCGGCCTAACATAACTTGCATTTTGTCTAAGCATAAATGTTAAACCGGACGTTTCACCGGAATCCCTTACCCTCCAAGGATATGAGGGATCAGCTATCTGAAATGTGAAAAGATATGCTAATTTCAAGTCCAGAGGCGTTAACGAATAAAATTACCTTTTTCACCTTCGACTCCTCCGAAACCAACGAATTGAACACTAAACATACCCCCATATCGGTACGTTCTCGAATAAAAAGCTTACAACAATCATATTTGGTTGTGTCGAATTCACACCAAACAAATACTTCATTGCAACGAAAAGCCATATACAATGACAAATCATATAGAGGAATATCACTTATAACCGGTGGTAGGGGGCCACGTTTTAACAGCTTCCCAATCGGGGTTAAATAATCAAAAGCCACATGTTCCATGGCCACCAGTAGATGATAGAATGCCTCACGCATTTCTTTCGTAGCATTTCTGGGAAGATATTTCCTTTCGGCAGCATGATAACGGATCCAATTGATGTGATTGAAGGGGCACACGGCCAGGGCGGGAAATCGTATTGCATAAATGGGTAAATGTGCTGTCTCCACCACGGTTACCAAAGGTTGTTCTTCCCGCAAACGAAACACCAGCAATAACATCAACATGCAACCGACAGAAGCTAGAAGTATTACAATGATCCAAAAGATACGAACGGATCGTCGTGCTTCACAATTCCAAATGTATTGTATGCCATGGATACAGTCTCGAAAAAATGGTGTTTGATTTTTAAAATTCTCCAACCACGATTTTTCTCTCTCAACTTTTTTGATGTCACTTTTAAAGATTTGCAAACCTCGAGGATGTTTGAAATTTGTAGTTTTATATCGCACCAATTCGTTGAGGTATATCATTGCTCCTGTCCTGTAGATGTTCAATTGAATACTGTCGTCATTTCTATATCAATGTTCATAGTTGTCACATAGTAAGGTTCGTTCCAGGTTTAGGGTATTAATTAAGTTATTAATCAAAGTTGAAGCGTCATAGAGTCGAAAAACGGATATTTCATTGATACTATTGACACTTCTTTGAATCCCAAAAATTAACCACACTACAGACATGCTATTATTAGAATGCATTAGTTCAAGAAAAGAAGTATAATAATGCGAAGTAAAAATGACTATTATTCGTGCCTTGTTATAATATCGGCCATCAACGCCGGTATATATTCAGACACAATCAGCGTAAATTTGTCCTCATGTCTGTTGTAATCACATTTCGAACGAATTGATATAAAAGGCCAAAAGGCGTGTATTTCGCCAGTAGGCAGGTTAAGAAAATGGGCCACGTAGGTCCACGTTTTGATATAGCCCCCTATAATGATACCTCCCTTGATTTGGTATTTTGATGATTTTAGCAATATTTTTAGCGGAATTATTGCAAATTTCGAATCTAAAGTTCGTAATAGGTACTACAGCTTATAACACAAAATCGCGTATGCAGGTTCTCGTCTTCACATAGCCTCCATATAACCAAACCTCCATATATTCGGTATTTTGATGATTTTAGCGGTATTATTCACCAGAATTGTTTAAAATTTCGTAAAAAAAGTACGTAATGGGTTCTACAGCCTATGATAAAAAAATTAATTATGAGGGAAAACGACTTCGTATAACCTTCAGATACGGGTTACCATTTAGAGGTATTCTGTACGGATTTTTTTTAACAATTTTCAAGTTAATTAGAACTTCGCTGCTTCTTTACTCGTTTAAGCTAAATTTCTATATTTTAGGCCTTAAAAATCTTGGAAGAATTTAAGTTGGTAGACTTATCTAACATCAAGAAGAAAACGGGATAAATCCATAATTCCTTTTGTTAATCTTTTTAGTCCGTCCTTCCATATATTTTTGTAACCAAAATGAAAGTCGCGATTTTGATAAAATTTTGCACAGATTAGTTGGAACGAACGCAGTTGAAATTTGTGACAATCGCTCCAGAGTTAGATACATGGTGAGATGAAAAAGCTGCAACTGACTTCAGACTGCTGTCATTTCAAATCCACTCGTCCGGCAGTTGTTAAAATTATGCCAGTGACAGCTCATTATATTGTTACATGCGGTGAGAATTTTCCAGAACAAAATTATTCGTGATGGAATTCAACCAAGATAGTGTGATTTCTTTATATTTGGCTGGAAAACCACAAGTGGCTATCGTTAGAGCACTCCAGCATTTACATGTGAATAAATCTTTTGTGTCTCGTACCATTGTTCGCTACCGTGATACTCGTAGCGTAGCCCGACGTCAAGGTAGTGGACGGAAAAAAACAACAACATCAGCAGAAGTGGTTCAAAAAGTAAAGAAGCGAATTGATCGAAACCCGCGTCACAGTGGTCGAAAAATGGCTCGTGAGCTGAATATATTGCAATATTCCATTCGCAAATATTGAAAAATGAGCTCGGAATAAAGCCATTGAAATTTCAAAACAAAGTGCAAGAACTTACACCGCAACAGGAAGAACATAGACTCAAAAGAGCTAAAGAGTTGCTTCGCTTGGCCGATAGTGGTGAACTGCCGAATTTGGTTTTCTCCGATGAGGAAACATTTGTTGTCCACCAGTTTGTAAACAAACCAAATGATCGTGTTTCCTTGCCAAAGAGGTCAGCTGAAAACGTGCACCTTCGCTTGGGCACACAAAGTCAAGCGCCGGCCATGGTGATGGTGTGGGCCGCCATAACAACCGATGGTCGCTCTCCGCTCGTATTGATCGACCGTGGCATCAGAAAAAATGCCGAATAATATGGCGAAAATATTCTGGAGGGTGCAATAAAGGCTTGGGCATGCAAACATTTTGTCCGCAGACCTTAGACATTCCAACAGGACTCAGCACCATCGCACTTCAGCACGCACCACCCAAGAATGGTTACAACATGGGATTCCTCGCATCATTTCCGGATACCAATCCGTTGGACTATTGTGTCTGGAGTATTTTGGAAAGCAATTTGGCACTAAGAAATACCAAATTATCATCATCCCAAGTAAGCGGTAAGCCGCAAAATATCGCAGAGCAACATTCGGACAGCATTCGATGGTTTCATTGGCCATTTGAAGGCCATAATTCGTGCCAAAGATGACCAATTTGAAAATATCTAATTTGAAAAATGCTTTTTGCTGCTATTCAATAAAATTTAAGAAAATACTGTTAAAATTATGGCGTTTGACTTTGTTGCAGTTTTTTTATTTCACCCTGTATAGCTCCCATACATGCATATATTTACCCGATTTCAGGTTGATTGTGCAGCAATGCATAACAAAAGCCGAAATTTGATCAATTTTAGCAAATTCCATCGAATTTTAACCTATGATTAAGTACGTAAAATGTGGAGAAATTCGGTTTTGATTTAGATATAGTTTCCATAAATATATTTTATTTTATTTCATATTAAAGTCCTCCACATCCGTAATATTCACTCAATAACAATGATATTTGGTACAGAATAGTTACTCTTGATAATTTTTGACAAATTTTGGATGTAGCTCCCATATATATCTTTGTTCGATTTCAAGTATATTGTGAGCCAAATTTATAATCTTAGAAAAACAAGTAAGCAAAGGCTATAGTCGTGGGGGCCGACCATGTGATACCCTACAACACTACAATATGGTAGAAGGCCCCTTATGTCCAAATCCATTTTGGGAGGTTTTGTTTTTGAAATTATTTGATTTTGCTTTGAAATTAGAGCAATGCCCAGATATTACCCTTAGCTTTTTGACCAGGGACATTTACCCAATATTTATATCATCCATCGTGCTGCTAGTTATTGTGGTCCATTTTACAGCTTAATATACTCCAATGGTCATACAAAATGCTAGAATTCTTCCCTGTCCTTAACTCTCTTCTCAGACGTGTCGATTGGCTTAAATTGTGTATTCAGGATTTTTATACCCTCCACCATGGGTAGGAGGGTATATTAACTTTGTCATTCTGTTTGTAACACCTCTAAATATTCGTCGTAGACCCCATAAAGTATATATATTCATAATCAGCATAAAATTATAAGACGATTTAGCGATGTCCGTCTGTCTGTCCGTCTGTCTGTTGAAATCACGATAGAGCCCACATTATTTGACGTAGACCTTTGAAATTTGGCACAAGTGTGTATATTGTCCCTAGGATGGTTGGTATTGGAAATGGGATATATCGGTCCACGTTTTGGTATAGCCCCCATATAACGGTACCTCCCGATATTCGGTATTTTGATTATTTTTGCCACATTTTTCCACGGATTTGTCTAAAAATTGACCTTTGTAAGTCGTAATGGATTCTAGCTCCAGTGGGGTAACATTATATGTATAGGTACACGTTTTCATGTAGCCCCCATATAACGGTACCTCCCGTTATTCGGTATTTTGGTGATTTTTACCACATTTTTCCACGGATTTGTCTGAAAATTGGTATTTGTAGGTCATAACGGGTCCCTGTACGTGTGGCAAATCATTGTATTTATAGGTCCACGTTTTGATATAGTCCCCATATAACGGTACCTCCCAATATTCGGTATTTTGATGATTTTTTGACACATTTTTTAAAGAATTTCTCTGAAAATTGGTAGTTGTTGATCATAATGGGTCCCAGTTCGTGTGGCGAGTCATTGAAATTATAGATCCACGTTTTGGTATAGCCCCCATATAACGGTACCTCCCGATATTCGATAATTTGATGATTTTTGCCACATTTTTTCACGGATTTGTCTGAAAATTGGTATCTGTAGGTCATAATGGGTTCTAGCCCCTTTGGCGAAACATTGCACGTGTAGGTCCACGATATAGCCCCTATATAACGGTACCTCCCGATATTCGGCATTCTAATGGTTTTTGCCACATTTCTTCTAATTTTTCTTTACCCTAAGGTGGAGGGTATTAAAAGTTTGGCCCGGCCGAACTTAATGTTTTTTTACTTGTTTTTTCCTGTTTTTGGTTCATTTGAACCGCTAAATATTTTGCAATTATCTCCAAAAGCAAGATGCCGTTCTGCATCTCCAAATTTAGACTTGCTAGTCTACGACATTTGGCTATATTCGTCAACGAAGTCAGCATAAAAAAGCCAGAAGTTCGCATTTTGTGTATTTCGGATATCGCCTGTAAATAATCCTGTTTGTGATTTCGCCGGCATTAAATATATTCGCGATTTAATGAAAAATTGGACTTTTATTTAACACAAATTTTATGGTATATTTCACCCACTAAATATTACCCAATGACCATCAAAATTGGAAGGCTTCTCCCCAGGCCTAAGCTCTAGCGTCATGCTAACTTCGGCGTCGATTGGTCTATAATTACGACCTGAAGAGCAAAAGCAAAATCAGGATTTTTTTCAGTTCTTGGTCCATTTCAACGCCTAAATATTATACGATCATCTCCCAAAGCAATAGGGTTCTTTCTAGCACTAGCCCCTCCTCCATTCTAAATTTCGTAAAGTCGGGCCATAGTTGCGACCTGTAGAGTGATAACAAATTAACATGGACAGACGGGCGGACGGACATAGCTAGATCGACTCAGCTCGGCGAGATAGGAAGATCCATATATATTTTCCTATATGGGAAACCAATATTTCGAGGTGTTACATAATTTTTGGCTCAATCAAACTTATAATACCCCCAACACAAAGTGTTGTAGGGTATAAAAGGTTGAATTTTTACAGAGATTAGCCTAGAATCAAGTATATCAAAATTTGTTAAATGTTGTCAAGATTTACCTACAACTCCCATATATATGTTTCATCCGATTAGAATTATTAATCGGCTGGAATCGGTGTTTTGATTTTGAATTTTCTTTTTTGAGCTCTTCTTTATTATATTCATGAGTTACAAAGAATATGAAGCCTACATACGGACACAGATGATAAGAAAGTACCCATACCCACATTACAAATATGCCTAATACAGAAATTTTCCATGTTTTGAACGGTAACATTTGGAATATTCCATTAATAAAATGCAAATTCTTCATTATTTTCACAACATACATGTACATAAACGACCTTTCGTATCAACTTTTATAAAATGCTTAAATATTACTATTACAAATGTATTATTATAATATTAATGCTTAAATGAATTTTTAGAGCTGATAGTAGGTAAAACATTCTCACCAACCATTCAGTAAAAGTTTTTGAACTACGAACTCTTCACCCAAAATATTCCACTAATTACCTATGTCTGTAATGCGCATATGTCTACAAAATATTCCCAAAAACAAAACTTAAAATCTTTAGTATTTGTTTGGACATCTCGAAAACAACAACGCCACGCCATGTTTTATCCTAACGAATTGGCTTACTTCAAGAAAACAAATTTCGAACATCCCAAGGGTTTGCTGAAATTTAAAGATTGTTATGACGATCCCCTGCAACCGCTAACAAAACGACAAGTTGAGAAAAGAATCATACGACGTATGTTTCAATTTTGTCAGAATTCCATAAATGGTGTATATCATATTTCTGAGCCGGGCCTAAGACCCAGTGTTCGGTTATTTTGGTGTGTGGTCGTAGTGGCCGCCATAATTGGCTGCGCGATGTCCTACATTGATTTAACCAAACGGCTGCAGGATGAAGCGCTTGTCACCGTCGTAGAGACATCACATCTGCCAATTCATGAAATTCGTTTTCCTGCCGTAGCCGTGTGTCCCCTTAATCGCGTGAATTGGATGCGTTACAAGGCGGCCGAGGAGAAATTTCTGCCGCGCTACACAGCAAAGGAGGCTAAGAATGCATTCTATAATTTGACAGTGTTGTTGGAACGTATGACTTTTAGTGGTCTCGAAGCTATAGAGGATTTTTTGAACTCACAACATATACCACGGTCTGTTCGGAATATTGTTCTGTCTCGGGTGGCACAATATTTGGCATTTCGTTGTGATGAAATTTTCCGTTGGTGCATTTACGACAAGACAAAACATGATTGTTGTAAAATTTTCATTCCCGAACAGACGGAGAAGGGTATATGTTTGGTGTTCAATTCTGTCGTATCGAAGGAGTCGAAAATAAAACAGGTAAAATAGTGATATGGTTTGTATCACTGCATTATGGGGTGTATTAAGCGTGAGGGGTGCTTAGACGTGTTTGATCACCAAAATAAGGAATAAATGGTTTCATCTGAAATCGTTATTTAGTTTTGACTGAAAAATGTTGAGGCTTTGTGAGAACGGTAGCACATATGCCCATTTGACTGTTTGGAACAATTTAAGATATTTTAAATCTAAGCTAGGGTTTTGCATTTCCCCAAAACTTAATTTAAAACACAAGTAAAAAAGCTGTAAGTTCGGCCGGGTCGAACTTTGAATACCCTCCACCATTTGTTACAAATTTGGTAATTTTCAAAAAAATAAAATCCGTTAAAATTCTGTTAAAATCTTAAAAAACCGAATGTCTATACGACGACGTGGACCTACATAGGCAACTTTTGTCATAAGTTATTACAATATATAAATGCGAAACTTGAAGAAAAATCTGTTTATAATGTAGCTAAAATCATCAAAATATTGATTATAGGGAGGTACCATGGGGGTTATAAAACGTGGACCTACACAGACAATTTTCTGGCATGGGCTGTAGTATCCATTACGAACTTCACATACAAAATTTGAAGTAATTCCGGTGAATAATGTCGCTAAATTCATCAAAATACGGAATATTGGGGGTACCGTTATCATTTACGAACTTCACGAACATCAATTACGAACTTCACATGCGAAATTTGAAACAATTCCGGTAAATAATGTTGCTAAAATCATCAAAATACCGAATATCATAGGGTACCGTTATATGGGGGCTATACGAAGACGTGGACCTACATGGCCATTTTCTGTCTTAGGCAGTTGTAGCCAATACGAACTTTAAATACCAATTTTGAAACATTTCCGGTAAATATTGTCGATAAAATTATCAAAATAGCGCATATCGGGAGGCTATACGAAGACGTGGACCTATAGGGCCCATTTTCAATACCAAAAGTCCTGCAGACATAATACACATTTTAGTAACATTTTATCGACCTACTTCATTTCGTTCGGAAGCTACAGTTATTTCCACAGACGGAAGGACTTTGCTAAATCGACATAGAATTTTGTGCTGATCAAGAATATATATACTTTGTGGGGTCTAAAATGTATATATCGAGGTGTTTCAAACGGAATGGCAGTCTCAATACACCCTCTATACTATGGTGAAGGGTATAAAAATCTTTGTTAACAATTATTTGATAATTCACTTTTTTAATAAATTTCCAGCTGACGGACAGCTTTTATCCCTGGAGAGCTCGATCGAGCGGTGAAGGTTCCGGACTATCATTTAGATTGCGATATAACAGCAGTCTCGTAAGACCTGGATCCACCGTTCCCTTTGCATTCAATGTAAGTGAATTATGGGGTACCGAATAATTTTTTATCTAAATTTGTTCACTTGTCTTTTAGGTAATTATAAAAAGACCTGGCGAATGGAGTAATTCTTTATATCAAATTTTGCATGCGAATACCCATAATAATATGATGGTAACACCAATAATAACTGAAACATCGCGAAATACTCGTCACATTAATCCAGTAAAACGAAAATGTTTATTTCCGGTAAGATTTGTTATTTGATAGTACTTTTTAATCGCCGATTTCCATACTCTAAGCGTACAAGCTACATAATTCATATATCATTTGATGCGGCAAAAATATGACACTGAAAAAAGGATTGTAGAAACCCCTGTTGGGTTTTTGAAAAAATCTCCAACAAAGCATCACTTTAGAAGGAGGACGTCAAAGACAAAAATATACATCATTAAATTTTACTACATGGCATCAAAGAATAGAACTTTTAATACCCTCCACACGTAATTTTATTTTACTCGAAAAAAGTCCGAGAAAAAGTTTATCAAAATAAGTGCGGATTTTTTTTTGTTTTTGGTAACATTGATGCAATTTTTTTATAATAAAATAAAAGCAAGTAAAAATACATTAAGTTATGCCGGGCCGAATTTCTAATACCCTCCACCATTAGGTAAAGCAAACATTTGTATTCAAAAGTATCTGGATTCAAACGTGATCTACTTTAAACTACAAATTCCAGTAAGATCAATAGGAGTATGGTTTGAGCCGTTATAAGAGACCATACTAAAACGAGAGCCTATATAGACAATTTCATACTACAACGATTGTAATCTATTGCGAGTCTTAAATACCCAATTTTTCATAATTTCGTGGACAATATTTTGACGCCGGTCGTGGAACCCATAATAATTTCACACGAATCTGTTAGAAAATATGGCTTAAATCGTCAAAATACCGAATGTCCGATGGAACCGTTACATATGCGCTGCAGGAAAACGTGTACCTAGATATTCAATGTTCTGCCACCGAACCAATACGGACTACAAATACCAATTTTTAGGCAAATCCTTAGGAAAATGTGGGGAAATGAGGTACCACTATACGGGGTTTATCAAAACGGGCATCTACAGGGTGAGATGAAAAACTGCAACCAACTTCAGACTGCTGTCATTTCTAAGCCACTCGTCCGACAACTCTTAAAATTATTCCAGTGACAGCTCATTATATTGTTTACAAACGTACAAAAGCATTTTGGTGAGAATTTTCCAGAAAAAAGTTATTCGTGATGGAATTTAAGCGTGAAAGTGTGATTTCTTATATTTGGCTGGAAAACCACAAGTGACTATCGTTAGAGCACTCCAGCATTTAAATGTGAATAAAGCTTTTGTGTCTCGTACCGTGATACTGGTAGCGTAGCCCAACGTCAAGGAAGTGGACGGAAGAAAACAGCAACATCAGCAGAAATGGTTCGAAAAGTAAGCGACTTGAACGAAACCCGCGTCGCAGTGGCTGAAAAATTGCTCGTGAGCTGAACATATCGCAATATTCCATTCGGCAAATATTGAAAATGGGCGAAATAACTTAGAAAAGTGCAAGAAAACAGACTCAAAAGAACTAAAGTGTTGCTTCGAATATTTTGAGATGTTAAAAACGGGAAGATAAATTTAATATACCCTCCTTTTCAAGGTGATTTTTTTTCTTTGGTAGCTTGTAACGGAATTTATTGTTCTAAAATGATGCTTTGTTGGAGATTTTTTCACAAACTCACACAAAGTACAGTTTTCACCCTTTAATATATGGCTAATATACATAAGTTTCTGGCGTTTAGATATGATTCTGACTTTAGACACCTTTTAGGACCCAGATAATAATATTATGAAAAATAATTTTGTAGTATATGTTGACCTACTACCTGCTTTGGGGTTAACATCTTCAACCAAAATATTCTTCGTATATCTATCTGAAATAATTCTAAAGACACATAAAATGACTAAATTTCATGAATCCCGAGGAATTTCTATGCGTAAATGTCCAAAAGTGTTGCGATGTAAGATTTCAAAACGCTAATACTCTTGTTTTCGGTTGTTGTCTTGTTTTAGCTCTACTTTCGTAATCTGATTAATTTTTCCCCATATTTATTGAAAACAAGTAAGCAAAGGCTACAGTCGAGCGGGGCCGACCGTTGAATACCCTACAACACTATAATAAACGATACAGTTTATATAGGCGAGATACTCGAAAGAATTCCACAAGATATTGTGACAAATAATAAAAGAAAACCATCAGGTTCCGTTCTCTAAGTTTCGAATAATAGCAACTTAAACTAATTTGCTCATTTCCAATTTATTGGTAGATGTTGCACGTAAATGGTCTTCCTAGAACTGAAACCAATATTTCCCAAAGACCTATAATCTCTCAGAAGTGGCAAAAGATTAACATTTATTATTGGTTTTTGACTGAAACGCAACGAAATCAGCGTTAACGAAATAGTCAGAAGTGCGTCTTTCCTGTATTTGTGAATTCTCCAAAAAGTCACGGGAATGGACATTTTCGTATTTTGTCTACAAAAGTTAGCAAACTATTTCGCACATTGAATATTTTTGGGATGGCCATCCAAAACTGCTTGGCTTTGCAATGTCCGGTAACCCCCATCCAAATGTGCGTGAGGATCGGGCAATAATTACGACCTGCTGACAAATTTTGCAGTTTTTTGGTCCATTTCAACCCCTAAATATATGGGTATCATCTACAAAAAGAGTAGGCTTCTATTCTGACCCTCATCTTATCCCCATGCAAAATTTCGTAAGGATCGGGCCATAAATGCGATCTGTATATGATATCCTAATATCCTAACTACTTAGTTTTGTTAGCTGTAGAAATATTACCAAAAGCTTAATTCAAAATGAAAATATGACAAAATTGAAAAAATATGAGAAAATGTTACAAAATCAATATTTTCATCTATAGGAGATATTTTTATGCCATTTTTTAGACGTTTTTTCTTTCCTGCCAAAAGGCCATTCTGAATTAATGAGAACTGTCGAAATCAGTTCAGCCGTTCTCGACATATAAGAGATCTTTCAAGCATATCTTCTTTGAAAGACATATATATCGCATATATTTGCTAATTTTTGGATCTTAACATCAATGTAAAGATCAGAAGTAACCTTGTCAAGGCTTTGAGATTTCGCCGGGGTTTAAAATATTCGCGCTTTAATGAAAAATTTTGAATTTTTTCAACAAAAAAGATATGGTCTATTTTACCCGCTAAATATTATCCGATGACCACCCAAATTGGTAGGCTTCTTCCCCGCCCTAAACTCTAGCTACATGCGAAATTCCGCATCGATTGGTCTATAATTGCGGCCTGTATAGCTACTGCAAAATCCGACATTTTTTCAGTATTTGGTCCATTTCAACCCCTAAACATTTGGCGATCATCTCCAAAAGAAATAGGGTTCTATTCTGACCCTAGCCCCACATCCATTCTAAATTTCGTGAAGATCGGGCCATAATTGCGACCTGTAGAGTGATTACAAATTAACATGGACAGACGGACAGACGGACGGACGGACATACATAGCTAGATCGACTCAGCTCGGCGAGCTAGGAAGATCCATATATACTTTCCTATGTGGGGAACCAATATTTCGAGGTGTTACATAATTTTTGGCCCAATCAAACTTATAATACCCCCAACACATAGTGTTGTAGGGTATAAAAATGGAATTTTGTGGCACAGTGTAATAAATATTTCCAGAAGCATGGAGTGTAGGCCAACGAATAAAATGGATCAATTAGAGGGTTAGTTTTCCAATTTAGTGATTTTTCTCGATGCCGACTCGGACTTGCAGCAGAATTATCCTACTTTGACTTATAGACGTAGGTTTAGATCCCGCAGTCCGGTAGTGAGATTCTCTAACATTTTGACATAAATTGATTTTTTTTTTTTTGTTTTTTTTTTATATTCGATATAATTTTTGATATAAAAAATAAGTTAAAGTTGACAACATTGGCGTCTATCAGTATGTCTTAGCAACTATTTTTATTTCGTCTCTAACTTACCGACAAATTTCGTTAATTACCGACATTTTAAGAATTTTAAAGTTGGTGAAATAACTTTTGTCGCTAACTGAAAAAATAAGTTAAGTGGAGTTGGAGATCTTCTTCGATTTATGCATGTCAATCCGTCTGTCCATGTATTTTTTGAACAAAATGCAGAACGCATTTACTTTCCGATTGAAATGAAAATGTCCAAGCAATATGTGTTTGACCTAAGGAAGAACCGTATTGGAATTGGCAAGAATCGGTTCAAATTAAGATATAGCTCCCATATATAATATTTACCGATTTCGGGTTAATTGTGCACCAAATGCCAATAACAGTTCAAATTACTTGAATTTTAACATATCCGACCTAATTCAGTCTACCAGCAAGTACATCAAATTTGTAGAAAATCGGTTCAGATATAGCTATAGCTCATATGTATATATAAGTTCCATCCCTCATTTGCGTAATATGCACTCCACAGCAATAATCTTTGGTACAAGATATCAAATACAGCTTAGAAATAAGTGTTCAAATGTTGTCAAGATCGCTTCAGATTTGGATATAGCTCCCATATATATCTTTATAGATTCATCTAAATGGAGTAAATTGTGGCCGACCATGTGATACCCTACAATACTACAATATGTTCGAAGTCCCTTTATATGCAAATCCATTTTGGAAGATTTCGTTTTTGAAATAATAATAAAGAGCCCTGCCCAGAGGTTACCTTAGGTTTTTGACTAGGAGAATTTAGCCAATATTTACGCACTCCGTAGTATTGTGAAGTATTCAAAACAATTGCACACGAAAGTTGTGGTCCATTTTACAGGTAAATATAATCCAATGGTCATCCAAAATCTTTCGATGCGAAATTTCGTGTCGATTAGTTTTCATTTGTGGCCTATAGAACGACTACAAAATTAGAAAATTTTAAATTTTTTAGCCTCTAAATGCACATCCTAAGAACAATAGGCTTAAATTCGACCCACCCCCATGCAAAATTTTATGAGGATCGGACGATAATTGCGACATACATATAATACCCTCAAAAAGTAGTGTGGGGGTGTAAAAATTTAAAATTCAATATTGTAAGTCAAATTGGAAAAATCTCACGCGATAAAATATATGACAAAAATGAAAAAAAGATATAAATTTTTTATTGGTATATTATCCCGCGATTTTCTTAGATTTTATCCTTTTCTGGCAAGAGACCATTCCGAATTGATGGGAATTGAGAAAATCGGCCCAGCGGTTCTTGACTTATAAACAGAATAAATAAGATCAATTCTTTTACATATGTATTGTACCTATTTTGCTATATATCCGATTTCTTGGCTTTTAGCATCACTGTAATGGTCAGAAGTGTTAATTGTCCGATGGCCGCCCAAATTGGCCGCCCAAACTCTAACTCCATGTAAATTTTCGCGTCGATTGGTTCATAATTGTGACCTATAGAGCAACTGCAAAATCAGGAAAATTTTCTGTTTTTGGTCCATTTCAATATCGTGCGATCATCTCCAAAAACAATAGGGTACTATTCTGACCCTAACCCCACCTCCATTTCCAATTTCGTGAGGATTGGTTCATAATTGCGACCTGTAGAGTGATTACAAATTAACATGGACAGACGGACGGACGGACATACATAGCTAAATCGACTCAGCTCGGCGAGATAGGAAGAACCATATATACTTTCCTATGTGGGAAACCAATATTTCGTGGTGTTACAAAATTTTTGGCCCAATCAAACTTATAATACCCCCAACACATAGTGTTGTAGGGTATAAACATATTTAAAAAAAAAAAACTTTTATGTATCTCTAAAACCAATTTATTAGCATTTTGAGCCGAAATGGCTTCAATTCAATATTTTTGCTCTATTTTTACAGGTTTTATTTAAGTTTTCCCATAACAGGGGAATATTAAAATTTCCGTGGACCTTAATTAATACATTTATTCCTTTTTTCCAGAACGAAATATCTACCAAATTTGATCGAATTGAAGGCTTAGCATTTAACAAGCTGAATTGTCGCGTTCAATGCGAGCAGAGACATTTAATAAATACCTGCAACTGCACTACGTCCATGTTCTTCCCGGGTGTATGTAAGAGATTTATCAATAAAATTGTATAAGAAAAGTTCTGAACATATATTTATAATTTAGCTCATAAAGCCGATATGGAATGTAAAGTATCGGATTTAAGGTGCATTTATGACAACAGGGGTAAGTGCTAGGAAAATTTCATACTTAATATATAAACATATCATACAATAAAATAAAATAATTGAATGTGTGTATTTTAGACATTTTCAGTTACATTAAAGGCTCGCGACAGGATAATTACATCAATGACACACGTCGCGGCATGATCTGCGATTGTCTAAATAGCTGTGAGGCACTGATGTTTTTGGTGAAATTGAATGTCCTGCCACTGGTAAAGTAAGTTGTACAGCGATTTAAATATAAAAAATATATATAAACATATTTTTTTATTTCAGTGTTAATGAAAGCTTCCCGGAAATATCAGCGGAGGTTTATTTTGCCGAAGAAACAATGACCAAGTACTCTGCCCGTTTGCAATACACCTATATGGATTTGATATCGAATTACGGCGGCGTCCTGGGCCTATGTTTGGGTGCTTCAGTATTAAGTATTTTTGAGATATTTTATGCAGTTATTAGAGCTATTTTTATATTTGGTTTATATAAATTAACAAATCGCCGAAAGAGACGACAGGTTAATGTTGTGAAAGTCAAGAAAAAAGAAGATGAAGGACAATTTGTGGAATAAAATGGAATATTTCAAATGGATTGTTGTGTGTCTTCATTTTAAGAGATTTGAAACATTTGAAAGCTTTCTGTTATAATCCAACTATTCTGGAAAAGGAAACACATTAATATTTTCTAATTATAAATTTAATTTGGTGGCCATTGTGAGCTGGAAATAAACGAGGAACCGCTTTTTGAGGCTTAATCCTAGCATAAAGAAAAAAAGTGTTCCTATTTCCAAAAGTTTGAATTTTTCACCAGGGTTACGGAGTCAAACTCGAGATATTTTACTGGAGCCTTGAAATAAACTGACGCCGGCTCAAGAAATACATTTCTAGATAGCAGTACAAGAAGTAATTGCAGAAAAAACTACTTAGATTACGAAAGTAAAGTAAAGTGTATAGAAGAAGCTAAAAACAACATTACAGTTAATTTCAGGAATTATTACCCTCGAAATATAGAGAGTATGACAAAAATCTCAAATTATGTTCAAAGTTATGAATATCTCAAAACACCAAAAAGTAAGAAAAGTTCAAAAGTAGGGCGGGCCGACTATATAATACCCTACAACACTATGCGTATCTATTATGACTCCCATAAAAATCTGAACCAATTTAGATAAGATTTGGCAGAGATATTTTCGTGCAGTATCTGATGGCCGGTATCAAATAACATTTTTGTGGAGTGTATAATACGCATGTGAGGGACTTTAAAACCAAATCTGATGGAAAATATATATGAGAGCTATAGCTATATCTGAACCGAATTTAACCAAAATTTGAAGCAGTTGCTTTTAGGACGGAATCCGCCGGAAGAGTCAAAATTCGGTCCATTTGGACTGATATTAGCCATTATTTGCACAAAAACTTGAAATCGGAACCGATAAAATTGGGCAAAGGTATTTCTGAGCTCTATAAAATATCTGGTACCAAATACCATTGTTGTCGAATGCACATTACGAATGTGAGGGACTTAAACACCAAATCGGATGAAACATATGTATCGGAACTATAGTTTTATCAGAACCGATTTTCACCAAATTTGATGTACTTGCATCTAAACTAAATTCTGTCGGATGTGCCAAAATTCACTGACATATTTCCATATAATTGTGTACCAAATGGACTGATATTGGCCACTTGGTGCACAATTAGCCCGAAATCGTTGAAGATATATATGGGAGCTATATACAAATCTGAACCGATCTTGATACAACATGGCACAGGTGTTTCTGGGTTGTATCTGATATCTGAAACCATTGAATGCATATTACGATATTGAGGGACTTAAACACCAAATCGGATGTAACATATATCTGTGAGCTATAGCTATATCTGAAACGATTTTCACCAAATTTGACGTACTTGCTTCTAGACTGAATTCGGCGGGAGGTGCCAAAATTCAGGACTTTTGGACAGACATTGGCCATTTGGTGCACAATTGACTTGAAATCGGTTGAAGTTTATTGGGAGCTGTATCTAAATCTGGTCCAATCAATGGGATTCGTCCTTGGGCCAAACAAATGTTGTTTTGAAAATTTCATCTCAAAATTCACGGACGGACAGATGGACTGACATAAATCTGATATGACATAAATCGATTCAGAAAGTAAGTCTATGAAGATCCTCAAAAGTAACTATGGTTCTATATCGCTTTCTTCTCCACGGTTTCTTGAATTAATGTTGCGAAATATAGCTAAAAATATCATGTCCTTTTGTATATGGTTATGGGAGTGGGCAGCACAATTCAGTTCTCTTGATAAAGTAAATATTTAGATATACCAGGTTTGAATAGAGTCGCTGACTTGTTTCCCAAACTATGAGACATATAAGTATTTAAAATGTTGATCCTTTTTGGGGGAGGTACTAGAAGGGGAAGGCCAATATCTATTATATACACATCATATCTTGTGTTTGTAGAAATATTGGGATTTGTGAAATTTGAAGAAAGTCGGATGATTATTTCACATTTATCCACAAGGAGTAATACGACGCAAAAATAATTTGAAAATAATCGAATGCTAATTTCCCGTTTTATGAGCTTTGTAGCTATTCAAAATGTTGGATCGATATCCACCATATTCACACCCAATCTTATGCCAGTAAAAATATTATGATGTGTGAAATTTGAAGAGACGCGAATTTTGCATTTTATGGACGTTTTGTTATTCAAAATGTTGGGCCCTTTGTGGGTGAGGTACCAGATGGAGTTAACCGATATTTCTTATATCCACACCAGATCTTGTTTTGATTAAAATATTGGGATGTGTGTAATTTGAAAAGCATTTGATGCTTTTTTCGCATTTTAAAAGTGATATAATTATTCAAAATCTTGACCCTTCGTATGGGAGGTACATTATGAAGTGGGCCGATATTGTCGATTTTCGCACCTGAAATATTACTAATGCAAATATTGGGATTTGCAAAGTTTAAACAAAATTGGATGATCCCTTTTTGCTTTACCAGGAAAATTGTTTTCTATGGAAATTTTGACTTTTTGTGGAGAAGGTACCAAAGGAGTCGAACGATATTGCCCATCTCCGAACTTAATTTAAGCTTGATAATAGTATTACGATGTTACAAGTTTGTACTATATCGGATTTCCCATCTCCAAATTCTATTCAAGTTTGATAATAGTATTACGATGTTCCAAGTTTGGAACGAATCGGATGCTCACTTCGAGAGTTATCGTTTGCACCAGTCAGCCAGGCGGATGGACACCCTTAGATCGACTCCCAATATTCTGAAGCGGACTTGATTCAAAGAGACTTAGGGTCTAAAACCCTTATTTCAATAAGGCACGTTGTGGCCGTATCAAATGATATATATCCTCTACAGCCATATGGTTGGGGGTATAACAAGTTAAAAAGCAGCTAAGTTCGACCGGGCCTAATTTTTATCAAAATCCACCATTAAGAATAAACTTGAAAAAATTAAAAAAAGTCGTCGATAAAATTCCTGCTTAAATGAAAAGCGTTATACGGGAGATAAACGACGTGAATAAATAACAATATTCCGAATTTACCTATTCCGAACTTTAAATGCGAAATTTGAGATAATTTCGGCGAATAATGCCGCTAATATCATAAAAATACGAAATAAAGGGTACTGCCGTCATATATGAGCTATATGAAGACGTGGACCTACATAGACAATATTCCGTCATAGGTTGTAGTATCAGAGTATCAGAAGGTATCGTTATATGGGGGCTATACGAAGATGTGGACAGGCATATACAATTTTTTGTCATAGGCCATAGTACCCATTCCGAACTTTAAATACGAAGTTTGAAACAATTCTGGTAAATAGCGTCGCTAAAATCTTGCAAATAGCGAATATCAGGGGGAAAGGGAGTGTTACACAGTTGTATTAGGGCTATACGATATCGTGGACCTACGCAGACAATTCTCTTCCAGTGGATAAAGTACTAAGAAAGAACTACTTGATTGGATTTTCAGACAATTCCATTGAAAAAATTGACAACAATCTTCAAAATACCGAATATCTGGAAGTACCGTTATATGGGGAGTAAACAATATCGTAGACCAACCAAGGTTGAAAATTATTCTGACTATTAATAAAACCAAAAAGTGTATTATTTTAATACATCCAAAAATCGAATTATTAATCCCAGAGCATAGAGACATCATTCTGGTATTCTTTCAAAGCAAAGTTTTTGGCCAACATTTCTCCACAAACATATGCATGTGTGGGCAATCCCATTTTTGGGACATACAGACTAATTTTCCGATAATAACTTTATTTTTATGAATATTTAACCTAATTTTATAAATAAGAGACTTCCAACAAAAGTTTTCGAGTTCTCATGGCTTCTCATTTCAGACAAATTTTTATTTTTGTCAACAAAGCAACAAAAACCAGTAATTAAATAGGATATAAACTTCTATTGTTAAAAGGGTGCTGATGGACAATCATTAACATATGCACATGCGTTTTCTTTACATATTAAAATTGGAAACCAACAGTTTCGGGCTAGATGTGAACAAGAAAACAAGGTTGAGACATGTATTATCCAAACGAATTGGCTCATTTCAAAATAACAAATTTCAAGCATCCCGACGGATTACTTATTTTCAAGGACCAGCCGACGACAACAGCTCCTGAAATACTGGCCAAAAAACAAGTTGAAATAAGATTGACCCAACGTCTGCTAAAATTCTGCCAGCACACAATTCATGGGGTAAATCACATTTGGGAACCTCGTACAAAACCCGCAGTTCGAATATTTTGGTGCCTAGTTGTTACGACCGCTTTAATAGGCTGCATAATTCTCTATAACACCGTGACACAACGTCATCGTGAAGGAATTCTGGTAACCGTAGTCGAGTCATCTCATCTGCCCATTCATACAATTCGTTTCCCCGCTGTGGCTGTTTGTCCTCTAAATCACGTCAATTGGATGCGTTACCATGCGGCTGAGACACGATTCTTACCACGCTATTCAGCCAAAGAGGCCAAAACGGCATTTTATAATTTAGTTATATTGTTGGAGCGCATGACTTTCACAAGACTTAATCATGTAGAGGAATTCTTAAAGATCAAAAAGGTACCGAGATCTGTTCGAAATATTGAACTCTCCGAGGTGGCGAAATTCATGTCACTGCGATGTGATGAAATTTTCAGTTGGTGCGTTTTTGATAAGACTCAAATGGATTGTTGTAAAATCTTTGTACCCGAATACACGGGAAGGGGAGAATGTTTGGTATTCAATTCAGTCATATCGAAGGAGTCAAGAATTAAGAAGGTATTTCTATATGTTTCAATATATTCAATAGATTTTATAATTTTATGTTATCGTTCCACCTCGTATATAAATGTAAATCGAAACATTTTAATGGTATTTCGAGAATTTTATTTAAAAATTGAGTCATTTCAATAACACGAAATTTCAATATTTTCCAATTTTACTGGAAAAGCTCAATGTAGAGCAAAAATTTCAGGTTACCAGCTCTAATGGTTCACCCAAAATTTAAATGGTATTAGCATAAGTACGAATTTCCAAAACTACCTACATACCTCAGTCCTACAATGCAATAGTAATCTAATTTCCGAATTTCAGCTCAAATGGTACATATTTAGTTCCTTTTAATAGTTTTCGTAGCGTTCTAATACGAATTTTCAAAAACCCAGCCTTATCTGACCCTCTTCGACCAAGAGTGATCCTCATTCAAAATTTGTAATTATACTCTCCACCATACTATGGAAGGGAATATTCATTTTGTCATTCCGTTGGTAACTCCTCGAAATAATGATCTTAGACCCAACAAAGTATATATGTTCTTGATCAGCGTAAAATTTAGCCATGTCCGTCTGTCTGTCTGTATGTCCATCTGTCTGTTGTAATCACGCTATTTTTTGAACGAATTGTGATAGAAGGCAAAAATTTTGCACACATGTTTATTTTGCCAGTAGGCAGGTTAAGTTCGTGAATGGGCCATGTAGGTCAACGTCTTCGTATAGCCCCCATATAACGGTACCTCCCTATATTCGGTATTTTGATGATTTTAGCGACATTATTTCCCGGAATTGTTTCATATTTGACATTTGTAGTTCGAAATGGATACTACAGCCTATGCCAGAAAATTGACTGTGCACGTCTTCGTATAGCCCCCATAGAACGGTACCTCCCTATATTCGGTATTTTGATGATTTTAGCGACATTATTTCCCGGAGTTGTTGCAAATTTGATGTTTGAAGATCGAAATGGATACTACAGCCTAAGGCAGAAAATTTTCAATACAGGTCCACGTCTTCGTATAGCCCCCATATAACGGTACCTCCCGATATTCGTTATTTTAATGATTTTAGCGACATCATTGACTGGACTTGTTTCATATTTGGCATTTGAAGTTCGAAATGTTTACTACAGCCTGAGACAGAAAATTGTCTGTGCAAGTCCAGGTCTTCCTGTAGGCCCCATATATCAGTACATCCTTATATTCGGTATTTTGACGATTTTAGGTACAATACTCACCGAAATTGTTTGAGATGTCGTATTTGAAGTTCGTAATGAAAGCTACAGCCTGTACAGAAAATTGTCTATACAGGTCCAGGTCTTCGTATAGCTCCTATATAGCGGTACCTCCCTATTTTCGGTATTTTGATGGTTTTGGCTACATTCTTCCCCGTTTATTTAGTTTCGAATTTGAATATGGTAATGGCTTGTGACATACAATGCCTATGAAGGTGCACGTCGTACAGGCCCTAATATAACGGCCATATTCGGTATTTTTAAAATGAATTTTTGGCGAATGATATCTTTTTCGAAAATTTTCAAATTCGTTCTAAATGGTGAAGGGTATTCAAAGTTCGGCCCGGCCGAACTTACTGCTTTTTTACTTGTTTTTCTAAAAGTTTAATGATCATATTATTTTATTTCCTTTCAGCTTACTGACAATTTCTATCCCTGGAGAGCTCGAACAAGCGGAGAGGGTTCCGGATTATCGTTTGGACTACAATATAACAAAAGTTTCATTCGACAGGGGAGTAACAATCCATTTGTCTTTACTGTAAGTTGGCAAACAAAAAGTGTAAAGTAATGAGCTGTGGGAAGAGTCAAGGTCACAGGTCATCAATAGCGTCATCAAAATTTTATAAAAGAAAATGATAATCTGATTTTGCTCCAACTTTTCTAATTTTAATATTTTTATCAGTGCTAGGACAGGTGAGGAGTTATAATTCTCTTATAAAATGTGATGTAAGAGTTCGATTGCCCTAAAATTATACACATCACAACATTTTTATTAACTCAAGGTCTGGCGTGAAGACGGAATATATCGATCCACTCCTTCTGGTACCTCCTCCACAAAGGTTCAATATTTCAAATATCCATGAAGCTTATAAAACGCGAAAGTAACATCCGATTTCATTCAGACTTGACAAATCTCAATATTTCTATCAACACAAGATCTGTAATAAAGATGGAATGAATCGAACCATTCCTTCTGGTACCTCCCCCAAAAAGGGTCAACGTTTTGAATAACTAAAATGATTATAAAATTCGAAATAAGCTCCCTGTTCTATTCATAATTATCGGTCCACTCCTTTTGGTACATCCCTCAGAAAAAGCCAAAATTTCGAATATCCGTGAGGCTTATAAAACGCGAACTTAATATCCGATTCCATTTAGAACTGGCATATCTCAACATTTCCGCCAACATAAGATCTGTTGTAAAAATGTTAGAAGATTTTGGAAAACAAAACACTCAAACGAACAAAAATAAGCATTCAATCTTCTTCAAACTACAAATATACAGGGTGAGATGAAAAATCTACAAGAAAGGCAAATGCCATAATTTTTACATTTTTTTTTTAATTTTATTGAATTAATCAATAAATGTCGGAAATGCATCAAATTTTAGATTAAGTTTAGATTTGTTCCAATTGGTCACTTTTGGTACGAATTATGGCCTTTAACCGGCCAATGAAACCGTCACACGCTGCCCGAATGTTGCTCTGCGGTATTTTGGCCCATTCCCGGCGAAGCGCTTTCTTGAGGCGATCGACACTTTGGTATTTTTAGTGCCAACCTTGTTTTTTAAAACAATTCAGACACAATAGTCCAACGGATTGGTAACCAGAGATTTTGTGCGCTGCAAATTCATTTCCAGCAAGGAACCTCATTTTGTAACTATTCTTGGGTGACGCGTGCTAAGTGCGATGGTGCTGAGTCCTGTTGGAATGTCCAAGGTCTGCGTCGAAAATGTTTGCGTGCCCAAATACACCCTCCAGAATAATTTCGCGATAATATTCGGCATTTACTCTGATGCCACGGTCGATTAATATGAGCGTAGAGTGGTCATCGGCTGTTATTGCGGTCCATCACCATCACCATGGCCGGCGATTGAGTTCTGGTGGCCAACCGAAGTTGCACATTTTCAGCTGATCTCTTTGGCAAGCAAACGTGATCATTTAGTTTGTTTACAAACGGCTGGACAACGAATGTTTTCTCATCGGAAAAATTCCAAATTCGGCAGTTCATCACTTTCGGCCAAGCGAAGCAACTTTTTAGCTCTTTTGAGTCTATTTGGATTCTGTTGCGGTGTAAGTTCTTGCACTTTTTGGAATTTCATTGGCTTTAACCCGAGCTCATTTTTCAATATTTGTCAAATGGTACACTGCGATATGTTCAGCTGACGAGCCATTTTTCGGCCGCTGCGACGTGAGTTTCGATCAAGCCGCTTCTTTACTTTTCGAACCATTTCTGCTGATGTTCCTGTTTTCTTCCGTCCACTTCCTTGACGTCGAGCTACGCTACCTGTATCACGGTAACGAGCGATGGTACGAGACACAAAAGGTTTATTCACATTTAAATTCTGGAGTGCTCTAACGATAGCCACTTGTGGTTTTCCAGCCAAATATAAAGAAATCACACTATCACGCTTGAATACCATTTCGAATAACTTTTTTCTGAAAAATCCTCACCAAAATGCTTTTGTAAGCTTGTAAACATTATAATGATCTGTCACTGGAATAATTTTAACAGCTGTCGGACAAGTGGCTTAGAAATGACAGCAGTCTGAAGTTTGTTGCAGTTTTTTTTATCTCACCCGTATTAATATACAGGGTCCGCATATTTTTTTGTAATCGAGTATAGCTTCGGCTCGTTATAATGCACCGATAACCTAACAACGGGTTTAGACCGAAATCAGCACTCAACAGTCTTTCGTATTGAGAACATCAGCTTTTTATAATAGTGTGTGGGTTTCGGACATGAGTATAGTGTTACCATTCACGAAATAAGCACTGGGTAATCCGAGCGGCGGAAATATAGTTTTTTTTAATAAAAATTAAAATTTCGACATATTCTCTACCAAATTTTATACAAAATATTCATATATTACCCGTGTAACCCATAGGTTCTTATCAAGGAAGAGGATGAATGGAGTGACACGTTATTTCATATTCTACAGAAGAATACCCACAATAGCCTTATGGTAACACCTCGAATTTCCGAAACGTCAAGAAATACCCGCCACATTGATCCGGCAAAGCGCAAATGGTTATTTCCGGTAATTTTATTGCATTTGATATCGAACCGTAAAATATAAAATATTGTACAACATATTCTGAATTAAAATTTTCCAGGATGAAAAATCGTCAAAATATGATCAAATTGAGGGTCTAGGGTTTCACAAAATCAATTGTATGGTCCGGTGTGAGCAAAAATATCTAATCGATGCCTGTAACTGTTCCCTGTCAATGTTTTTCCCGGAATTGCGTAAGTGATGTTCTTAATGCTAAGAAAATACATAAATATTTTTAAAAAAAATTCTAGCTGGCCAATCCAACATGGAGTGTAAAGTTTCCGATTTGAGGTGTATTCATGACCACTGGGGTGAGTATGGGGTAATACTCTATTCGGAGAATTATTACACACATATTTTTGGTAACCTAATTTCTCCCCCCTTTTTAGATATATTCAATTATTTAAAAGAACCCCTGCAGGATGAGTACATAAATGACACCAGACGTGGTATGATTTGCGATTGTCTTCGTGGCTGTGAATCGTTGTTGTATTTGGTAGAATTAAATGTAATACCATTGCCAAAGTAAGTTTTGTGGTAAATATAATAAAAAAAGATTAAATAATTATTTTATTTGTTTTTCAGCGCCAATGACAGCTTGCCACAAATAACGGCTGAAGTTTATTTTGCAAGGAATACTCTGACCAAATATGCGTCCCGCTTACAATATACCTACTTCGATATGATATCGAATTTTGGTGGCATAATGGCATTATTTCTGGGTGCTTCAGTATTGAGTATAGTGGAAATCGGTTATGGCATTGTTAGAGAACTTATTATATTCTCTTTATATAAATTGTTCGGTCGCAGGAAGCGACGACGTATTCGTATTGTGAAAAGTAGAAATGAAGCAAGTGAGGAGAAAATAAAAACTACTAAGGATTATGTCGTCAAATAAATAAGAAGCCACCAAGAAATCTTAGCAGAATTCAATATACTTGTATACAAAGTTGTTTCTACATTAGTCTGAGTATATAGGATCCTGAGGTGGATGGCATAATTTATATCATTGCCCATATCCTCTAGAGTCTTCTGGAAATCGTCATAGATTTTGTCAGGATCGCTATTGGTATCGATGACTGCAAGAGTTCACCCCTGTAGTGCTTCTCTGCTACTTTTACCAAGACTTCCGGGATTTCTGTACAGAACCCCCAAGTAGTGTAGAACATTCCGTGACGGGGTTTGCTCAGCGGTTGTCAGTCCACTTTTAAGTAACTTAACTTTCAGAATTTTAGCCCTATACCTTTACTCAATACCAATTTTAGTAACATTTAGTACGCATATCCACAACAATCTACATCTCTCCATCCCAGCTCCAAAACTAGTATGATTTAGTACTTTTCGAACAATTTAATACACATTTCCAAAAACTCGCATATAACAATAGACATCTCAATATCGAAATTGCGGATTCAAGCCCTATCCTTTCATCCAATACAAAATTTAATACCGTTTAGTACAAATATAGAACTCATTACCAAAACTACCTCCATAGGTAGAGTGTAGGAATAGAGGTGAAATCATGATATATACGGGTAACAGTGGGTGCGTCAGATGTAGATTTACTAAATTTGGCAAAAAGTATAGAAAAGAGTTTAGAAAATGCAGTGTCATTGGAAATATATAGTGTTCGAAAAGTACTAAATGGTACTAAATTTAGTATAAAAGGGTAGTAATAGGAGTGGAATTGAGAATTTAAAATTACTGTGTTTCTGTAGAAACTGACATGTTTTTGAAAATGCGTTGTTGATAGAGTTAAAACTATGATTTATTTCACTATGTCGGCTATACAAAAACGTGGACCTATACATATAATATTTCGCCAACGGAGCTAGAACCTATTATGACCAACAAATTTTTAGTCAAATCCGTGAAAAAATGTGACAAACAACATCAAAATACCGACTAACGGGAGATATCGTTTTTTGGGGGCTATACCAAAGCGTGGACCTATACATACAATGTTTCGCCACACGAACTAGGACCCATTAGGACCTACAAATACCAATTTTCAGATAATTCCCGACTATCGGGAGGTACCTTTATATGGGTGCTATACCAAATCGCGGACCTATACGTGCAATGTTTCGCCACCGGAGCTAGAACCCATTATGAGCAATAAATACCAATTTTTAGACAAATCCATGAAAAAATGTGGCAAAAATCATCAAAATACCGAATCTCATGGACCGATATATCTCATTTTCAATACCAACCATCCTACACACAATTCAAATTATTCTGCTTAATTTTGACGCTCTACCTCAAATAATGTGGCTTGTATCGTGATTTCAACAGACAAACAGACGGACAGACAATCTGACAACGTTAAATGGACTTAGAATTTTATGCTGGTAATGAATATGTATACATTATGGGGTCTACGACGAATATTTAAGGATGTTACAAACGGAATGACAAAGTTAATATACCCTCCTTTCCAAGGTGGAGGATATAAAAATTTGTGTTTAAGTTCTCTTTTCAATCTTCTTTTTTATACCCTCCACCTTTGTCATTCCGTTTGTAACATTATTAAATATTCGATTTTGTATTTAAGTCCCTCATACCCTAAAATGTTCTCCACAACAACTGCAATACACCAAAAAATACCTCTGCCAAATTTTATACAGATCAGATCGGCTATAGCTCCTATATACAGGGTGAGATAAAAAAACTGCAACAAAGTCAAACGCCATAATTTTTATTTTTTTTTTAAATTTTATTGAATGAAAGCAAAAAATGTCGGATATAGCATCAAATTTTAGAATAAGTTTACATTTATTCGAATTGGTCACCTTCGGCACGGATTATGGCCTTCAAACGGCCAATGAAACCATCACACGCTGCCCGAATGTTGCTATGCGGTATTTTGGCCCATTCCCTGTGAAGCGCTTTCTTGAGGTGATCGACATTTTGGTATTTTTTAGTGCCAACCTTGCTTTCCAAAATACTCCAGGCACAATAGTCCAATAGATTAGTATCCGGAGATTTTGGTGGCCATTGTGCGCTAGAAATGAAGCGAGGAACCTAATTTTGTAACCATTCTTGGAAGGCGCGTGCTGTGTGCGATGGTGCTGAGTCCTGTTGGAATGTCCAAGGTCTGCGGCTAAAATGTTTGCGTGCCCAAGGCTTTAGTACGACCTCCATAATATTTCCGCGATAGGCACTATTTCTGATGCCACGGTCGATTAAGCGATAGCGAGCGCAGAGCGACCATCGGCTGTTATGGCAGCCCACACCACACCATCACCACGGGTGGCCAAATTTGGCAGTCCACCACTTTAGGCCAAGCGAAGCAACACTATTTTCTTTTTGTTGCGGTGTAAGTTCTTGCACATTTTTGAATTTCAATGACTTTACCCCGAGCTCATTTTTCAATATTTGCCGAGTTGAATATTGCGATATGTTCAGCATCACGAGACATTTTTCGGCCCCTGCAACGCGGGTTTCGATCAAATCGCTTCTTTACTTTTCGAACCATTTCTGCTGATGTTGTTGTTTTCTTCCGTTCACTTCCTTGACTTCGGGCTACGCTACCAGTATCGCGGTAACGATCGATGGTGCGAGACACAAAAGATTTATTTACATTTAAATGCTAGAGTGCTCTGACGATAGCCACCTGTGGTTTTCCAGCCAAATATGAGGGGACGAAGACGTGGACCTGCACAGACAAATTTCTGTCGTAGGCTGTAGTATTCATTACGAAATTCAAACACCAGATTAGAAACAATTCCGGTGAATAACGTTGCTAAAATCATCAAAGAACCAAATATCGGGAGGTACTGTTATATGGGGTCTATACAATGACGTGGAACTGCACAAATAATTTATCTTAGGTTGTAGTATCCTTTACGAACTATTTTGAAGTTTGAAATAATTCCGGTGAATAATGTCGCTAAAATCATCTACGGATAGACGGCCGGACATCGCTAAATCGCCATGGAATTTTATGCTGATCAAGAAAATATGTACTTCGTGGGGTCTAAAATGTATGTTTCGAGGTGTTACAAACGGAATGACAAACTTAATATACCCTCCATACTTTGGTAGAGGGTATTAAAATATTAAATTCGGCCGAACCGAACTATTAATGCCATCCACCATTGGGTAAAGATTTATGTAAAAGTATCAGAATTCAAACATGTTCCACCACTAAGACCGTTTGTGACTAAAAACCTTTAGAATACCGAATATCAGAAGGTACCGAATACAAGCAGTATACGTTGACCTATATGTACAATGTTTCACCACCGGAGCTGAAACCCATTATGAACTACAAATACCAATGTCTAGACATATCCGTGGAAAATGTGGCAAAAACTAGGGTAACTCCAATAAATATGCTCAGTGGAGGAGGGTATCATAAAGTCGGTCCGCCCGACTTATTGCCTTTCTTTACTGTCTTTTTTTTAATGTTTGTCTTTATTTATTTATTTTTTTGTGCTGCAGTAATTTTTTTCTTTTTTGAAAAGAATTTTTCGAGACTTCGAATTAAACTCGTAAATTAACTCGCACTTTGGACTTTGTTTCCTACTACTTTTTATATTAAGTTCGGCATTCCGTTTGTAACTCATCGAAATACTTGATCATCGTGAAATTCTAAGACGATTTTGCCCTGTCCGTCTGGCCGTTCGTCCATCTGCCCGTCTGTTGTAATCACGCTACAGTCAAAACGAATTAAGATAGGAAGCTAAATTTTTTTCACAAATCTGTCTTTAGTCTGCAGGCAGGTCAAGTTCTAAGATGGGTTATATCGGTCCACGATATCATGTAGCCCCCATATAACGGTACCCTCCGATATTCCTTATTTTGATGATTTTAGCCACATTTTTCAAGGGAATTCTCTTATTATTTTTTCACTCCCTTTCTTTTTGGCTTTTTCTATCCTCTTGCTTGCTTCTTTATATCGCCTCTCCGTTATCCTCTTCCTCGATTCTCCGTCTGTCAATTTCTGCTTCTTTATATCGCTTCTCTGTTTCGTTACCTCTTCGTTCTATCCTTTTTATACCCTACACCACAAGGTGGTCAGGGTATTATGTCTTTGTGCATTTGTTTGTAACAGGCAGAAGGAAACGAGATAGACCCATAGTTCCTTTTGATGATCTGCATAGAATCACATTCTGAGTCGATTTATGCATGTCCGACCGTCTGTCCGTCCGTCTGTCCGTCCGTCTGTCCGTCCGTCTGTCCGTCTGTCCATGTATTTTTGTAAACAAAGTACAGGTCGCATTTATTGCCCGATCCAGATGAAATTTTGCAAAGATCTTTTGTTTGGCCCAAGGACGAACCCTATTGAAATTGGAGATAATCGGTCAAAATTTAGATATAGCTTCCATATATATCTTCGTCCGATTTGCTTTTTATTGTGCACCAAACGTGTAATGTCAGTCCGAATAGTATGGAATTTTGCACGTATGATCAGATTGGACCTGAAAATAAGTATGCCAAATTTGATCGAAATCGGTTCAGATATAGCTATAGCTGCCATACATATTGTTCATCCGATTTGTTTTTTTGTCCTTCGCATCCGTAATATGCACTCTGTAACAACAATATTTGGGGAACTATATCAAATACAGCTCAGAAATACATTTGCTAAATTTTATCGAGATCGGTTCAGATAGCTCCCATATATAACTTCGTCCGATTTACCTTTGATTATGCACCAAGCGTCTAATATTTGTCCAAATGGGATGAAACTTGGCACTTACGACCGAATTGTGTCTAGAAGCAAGTATGTCAAATTTGTTGAAGATCGGTTCAGATATAGCTATAGCTCCTATATATATTGTTCATACGATTTGTTGTATTTGTTACCCACAGCCGTAATATGCACTCCGTAACAACGATATTCAGGGAAATATATCAAATGCAGCTCAGAAATTTTTTTTTGCCAAATTTAATCGAGATCGGTTCAGATTTGGATATAGCTCTCATATACATCTTTATTGATTTCAAATTAATTTTGCACCACATGGGCAATTCAAGTCCGAATTTAAAAGATACAAATGCTTCGCATATTTAGTACTTTGAACTTTAAATTCTAATTATAATCATAGCGTGTATGTTTGAATTCTCCCATAAAAACTTTTAATTGTTATGTGGAGCTATACTAAATTAGCAAAGTGATGTAGGGTATCAAAAAGTCGGCCCCGCCCGACTTTAGGACTTTCATTACTGGTTTATTTTTCCTTTATCTTAATGCATTTGAATTATTCACGCCTCCGGTTCCTTTCACTTCCACTAAACTGAAGGCTCGAACGACGAAGGATAGAAGTGAAAGAAAACTTACTACTTTAATAGCTTTTCAAAATCACCAAAAATATATTAATTTTTGTTTTTTTTTCACAATAAATAACAAATTAATTCACAATAAGGTATTTTGACAGTAAAATTGCTTGCTGTTTGATTGCACCTAGACCATATCCCATAATAAATGTTAATATGTCCAGAAAATAAGTCAAAATCGTATGTAAACCATAATGCTCCTTGTCAATATCAAACGGGAACTACCAGAGCAGTCAAAGTGTGGCTATGATAAACTATTTGCCGCAATAATTATTTTATTCCCTCATGACAGAGAATCACACAAATTTGTACACACGTGTATCCTCTTCTTCCCTAAAAAAAAACTTTCTTGTAAGTATATTTTTGTTAATATTAATAACAATTTTTATATCAATTTACCGAGAAAACTTTTCTGTTAAATAAGCAAGGAGGCTCTCCAATTACAAAGGCCACACAACTTCCACTGCCAAAAGGGCAAACAATAGCCTATCATTTCCACGAATGCTAAAATGTTCATAGGGACAAACAAAAACAAACAGTTTCAATTTGAACGCCACCGGGAAGACAACATCAAGTCATGCACTATCCAAACGATTTCGCCTACTTCAAGAGAACTAACTTTAATCACCCCCGAGGGCTGCAAGTTTTCAAGGACACTCCTATCCACATGCCATCAACTAGACAATTTGAAATAAGATTGACTCAACGCCTTCTGAAATTCTGTCAAAACACTATTCATGGGGTAAATCACATATGGGAACCTCGTACCCGACCAGCTGTGCGGGTATTTTGGTGTTTGATTGTCACCGCAGCCCTGGTTGGTTGCATAATTCTCTACAACACCGTTACCCAACGTCATCGTGAGGGAATTCTAGTCACGGTCGTTGAGACATCACATCTACCCATACAAACCATACATTTCCCGGCAGTGGCTGTCTGTCCTGTCTACCGCATCAATTGGATGCGTTACAAGGCGGCTGAAGAGCGTTTTCTGCCACGCTATGCAGCCAAAGAGGCCAACAGTGCATTTTATCATCTTCTCATGCTGCTGGAGCGTATGACATTCACAAGGCTTAACCTCATCGCAGAATTTTTAGAGGTCAAGAGAGTACCGAGATCTGTTCGAAATATTGAACTGTCAGAGGTGGCGAAATTTATGTCGCTGCGCTGCGATGCGATTTTCAGTTGGTGTATTTTCGATAAAACCCAAATGGATTGTTGTAAAATTTTTGTACCCGAAATTACCAGCAGGGGTGTGTGCTTGGTATTTAATTCCGTTATATCCAAGGAGTCGAGTATAAAAAAGGTAAAAATGGATTTTGTTACCAATACTTATATGGGTAAAATGTAAATGGGTATGACGGGTGTTACACTTTGACATTCTTTCAAATTTCTGCCATACTTACATTTAGCTCACGGATAGCTTCTACCCCTGGAGATCTCGATCGAGCGGTGAGGGTTCTGGTTTGTCATTTGGACTACACTATAATCGGAGCCTGATGCGGCCAGGAAGTCAGAATCCTTTTGTTTTCACTGTAAGTATACATAAAGCAAGTGACTTAATAATACATCACCGCCCAGACGAAACGGCTGAAGCTAGAATCTTGAAATTTTGGGTGAGGGTCATTCTTGGTGCGAATGTGTCAGATATGGCTGGTTTTTTTGTAATTTAACAATTAGTTCTAGAACGGTACGGAAACCATTAAAAAGTACTGAATATGATACCCTTTGTATTTGAGGAAGCTGTAGAGATATAACTCTTAAATTTGAAGTGAGGGTCACTGATTCGTACTATAAGTGTACGAAAAGTACTAAAATATACTAAATGTGGTACAAATTCGTATCATGTGAACGGTTAAAGCTTGAAATTCGGAATGGAAATCAAAGTTGAGGTTGGTGTAAGAAGGTAGTGTTGGAAGGGTGTTCTCATGAATAAAAAGTACTAAAAGGTACTAAATTTGACACAATTTGAATTTGGAGGAACGGATGGAGCTGGAATCCTGAAATTTAAAATTAACATTACTGGAACTAAATTTGATACCATTTCGATTCTGCTTGAACCGATGGAGCTGGAATGCTGAAATTGTGGAAATAAGATTATTATTTCATTGTAGGACTAAGACATGTAGGTAGTTTTGGAAATTAATACTTATGTGTACTAAATGGTACTAAATTAGGTATAATTTAAATTTTGGGTACGATTTCTATGGGATTACATCATTAGTTATGACAATGTGTACTTATGCGTATTAAATTTGGTACAATTTGGATTTGGAAGAACGGACGCAGCTGGAATCCTGAAATTAACATTACTGGTAGAGTGTAGGATTGGGGAATGGTGGTAGTTTTCGAAATTCGTACTTATGTGTACGATAAGTACTTAATGGTACTAAATTCGGACAAAGTCAAACGACATAATTTTTAATTTTTTTTAAATTTTATTGAATGAAAGCAAAAAATTTCGGAAATGGCATCAAATTTTAGAATAAGTATAGATTTGTTCGAATTGGTCACCTTTGGCACGAATTATGGCTTTCAAACGGCTAATGAAACAGTCACAAGCTGCCTAATTGTTGCTCCGCGGTATTTTGGCCCATTCCTGGCAAAGCGCTTGCTTGAGGTAATCGACACTTTGGCATTTTTTAGTGCCAACCTTGCTTTCCAAAATACTCCAGACACAATAGTCCAACGGACTGGTATCCAGAGATTTTGGTGGCTATTGTGCGCTGGAAATGAAGCGAGGAATCTCATTTTGTAACCAATCTTGGGTGGCGGGTGCTGGTCTGCGGCCAAAATGTTTGCGTGCCCATGGCTTTCATACACCCTCCAGGATATTTTCGCGATAATATTCTGCATTTATTATGATGCCACGGTCAATTAATGCGAGCAAAGAGCGACCATCGGCTGTTATGGCGGCCCACACCATCACCATGGCTGGTGCTTTAGTTCTGGTGGCCAACCAAGTAAAGACAATCATTTTGTGTCTTTACAAACTGCTGGACAACGAATGTTTTCTCATCGGAGAAACCCGAATTCGGCAGTTTACCACTTTCTGTCAAGCGAAGCAATTCTTTAGCTATTTTGAGTTTATTTTCTTTCTGTTGTGGTGCAAGTTCTTGCACTTTTTGGAATTTCAATGGCTTTATCCCATCATTTTTCAATATTTTTCGAATGGTATATTGTGATATGTTTAGCTCACGAGCCATTTTTCGGCAATTTCTTCTGATATAAATATAAAAAAATCACACTATCGCACTTGGATTCGATCACAAATAATTTTTTTCACAAATAATGCTTTCGTACGCTTGTAAACAATATAATGAGCTGTCACTGAAACAATTTTAACAGCTGTCGGACGAGTGACTTAGAAATGATAGCAGTCTGACCGCAGTCTGTAACAATTTCGGTAAATAATGTCGCCAAATCATAAATACCGAACATAGGGAGGTACCGTTATATGGGTACGCAAAAACCTCACCTTTTTATCCAATGTTTTGTCATAGGCTGTAGCATTACGAACTTCAAATACGAAATTTGATATGCTCTGAATGATCTGGGGGTAGAACTTTTTTTGACACATCTATCCTACACTCCAACATTCTGAATTGGTCGGTTCGGCCCATATAATGGATTTAGTTTAGATTTAGTATAGTTCAAATTTCGAAAAATCCTCAATCACTAACAGCTGAAACAAGTAAAATACATTAAGTTCGGCCGGGAAAAACTTTTAATACCCTCCACCTTAGGGTAAAGGAAACATTGGAGCCTATATACCAATTTTTAGACATATTCATGGGAAAATGTGCCAAAAATCATAAAAATACCGAATATCGGAAAATAGGCTTAATGGAGCTATACAAAAATGTGGACATACAGTGTTTCGCAAAAAGAGCTAGAACCCATTAAGACCTACAAATACCAATTTTCAGAAAAATCCGTCAAAATATGACAAAAATCATCAAAATACCGAATATCGGGAGGTACCGTTATATGGGACTATACCAAATTGTGAACCTATAAATGCAATGTTTCGCCAAAGGAGCTGGAACCTATTATGACCAACAAATACCAATTTTTAGACAAATCAGTGAAAAAATGTGGCAAAAACCATCAATAGCGAATATCGGGAGGTACCTTTATATGGGGGCTATACCAAAGCGGGGACCTATACATGCAATGTCTCGCCACACGAACCCGTCAAGATTTTAACTTTATCTGTTCACATTATTCCAAATGGTACCGGTTCAAATAGCCGGATTTATCTCACCCTCTACACACCAGCATTGACCCACATGCTAAATTTCAAAATTCTATGTTCAGCCAGTCACGCAGTCCTCAATTGAAATGGGCTGGTCTGTATAGACATGAGCTTTAACATAGCCCCACCGATCCCGAAGGTGAAATAAAATGTTCACAAAATTAAATAATTTTCAATGGCTTACTTATCAATAACAATGAACAACATTCCGAGGCTAAATTGAGTATTTCTTATGGAAATCATCTCTGACAATGAATTGAATTTAAAAATTCCCAAATATTGCTATATTTGTAATTTTGTTCTTTTTTCCTAGCTTCTAATAAAAGATGATGACGAGTGGAGTGACACGTTATTTCATATCATTCAAAAAAATACCCACAACAGTTTTATGGTAACTCCAACAATTACCGAGACTGCGAGGAGCACTCGTCACCTAGATCCTGCAAAGCGCAAATGTGTATTTTCGGTAATATTTATTTTATTGTTTTTGATATTTACAAACACCTCCGCAAAAAATATACTTCATTAATTTTTCCAGGATGAAATATCAACGAAATACGATCACATTGAGGGTTTGGAATTTAAAAAAATTAATTGCTTGATTCGATGCGAGCAGAGATATTTAATAGAAGCCTGTAACTGTACAATGTCAATGTTCTTTCCAGAAATATGTAAGAATTGTTATTGAGCATTACAAAATTATTATTGGTATATATATTTTCAGCTTCACAACCGGAATGCAAGGTGTCCGATTTAAGGTGTATTTACGAGAATTGGGGTAGGTCAAGGGAAATTAAAAAAGAAACACATATACATATTTTTGTATTTCCAAAGGTCATACCCTAACATTTACCCTTTCTTTTGCCTTAGATATTTTCACTTACCTGAAGGAACCTCTACAGGATGAGTACATGAATGACACCCGGCGTGGCATGACTTGTGATTGTGTTGATGGCTGTAAGTCGTTGTTGTATTTGGTGGAACTTAATGTTATAGGATTACCCAAGTATGTGTGATATAGTAATTATAATAATATATATGTGTTAGTATGAGTGTAAAGTCATTAAATTAATTTATTTTCAGTGCTAATGACAGCCTACCGGAAATATCGGCCGAAATTTATTTTGCCAAAAATACTCTAACCAAATATGCAGCACGTCTCCAGTATACCTACTTGGATCTGATATCGAATTTTGGTGGCATTTTGACATTATTTTTGGGTGCATCAATATTGAGTTTTGTGGAAATAGGTTATGCCATTGTTAGAGAACTTTTCATATTTTCTTTGTATAAATTGACAACACGAAAGAAGAAACGACGTATACATGTTGTGAAAAGTAATAGGCGGGAGAATAAAAAGAAAATAAATACTGCTAAAAAATAAAATTAATAAATATTTGATTTTTTATTGTAGTTTAAAAAAGGATATTTAAAATTACATACATGCATTTAAAATAGCAGTGTGCAACATAAAAAATAATTATAAGGAAAATACGGCAGATTGCGAAAGTAGAGCTAAAAGTAGGAGACACGTGTATCGATTTTTTAAAGTTTACATCGCAAAGTAACCTAGTAAGTTCGCCCTTTTCCACATTCTGAAATATTACAATATTGCAGATAAAATCACTAAAAGAAGGTCAAAATTAATTAATTATATTCAAATCTGAACCGATCACTATAAAAATTAACTGAGGTATTCATATGCTGTATCTGATAGGTGGCAGAAAATATCGCTGTCATGGAGAGCATAAGTTTAGGTTTGTTCGAATTAGTCACTTTTGGCACAAATTATGGCCTTCAAGCGGCCAACGAAACGTCACACGTTGCCCGAATGTTGCTCTGCAGTATTTTGGCCCATTCCCGGCGAAGCGCTTGCTTGAGGTGATCGACACTTTGGTTTTTTTAGTGCCAACCTTGCTTTCCAAAATACTCCAGACACAATAGTCCAACGGATTGGTATCCGGAGATTTTGGTGGCCATTGTGCGCTGGCAATGAAGTAAGGAACCTCATTTTGTAACCATCCTTGGGTGACGCGTGCTGAGTGCGATCGTGCTGAGTCCTGTTGGAATGTCCAAGGTGTGCGGCCAAATGTTTGCGTGCCCAAGGCTTTAATACAACCTCCAGAATATTTTCGCGAGAATATTCGGCATTTATTCTGATGCAACGGTCGATTAATACAAGCGGAGAGCGACCACCGGCTGTTATGGCGGCCCACACAAACACAATGGCCGGCGCTTGAGTTCTGGTGGCCAACCGAAGGTGCACATTTTCAGCTGACCTCATTGGCAAGTAAACACGATCATTTTGTTTGTTTACAAACAGCTGGACAACTAATGTTTTCTCATCGGAGAAAACCAAATTCGGCAGTTCACCACTTTCGGCAAAGCGAAGCAACTCTTTAGTTCTTTTAAGTCTATTTTCTTTCTGTTGCGGTGTAAGTTCTTGGACTTTTTGGAATTTCAATGGCTTTACCCCGAGCTCATTTTTCCATACTTGCCGAATGGAATTTTGCTATATGTTCAGCTCACGAGCCATTTTTCGGCCCCTGCGACGCGCTTCTTTACTTTTCGAACCATTTCTGCTGATGTTCCTGCTTTCTTCCCTCCACTTCCCTGACGTTGGGCTACGCCACCAGTATCACGGTAACGAGAGATGGTACGAGACACAAAAGATTCATTCATATTAAATGCTGGAGTGCTCTAACAATAGCCACTTGTGGTTTTCCAGCCAAATATAAAGAAATCACACTATCACGATTGATTTTCATCCATCACGAATAACTTTTTTTCTGGAAAATTCTCTCCAAAATGCTTTTGTACGCTTGTAAACAATATAATGAGCTATCGCTGGAATAATTGTAACAGCTGTCGGGAGAGTTGCTTAGAAATGACAGCGGTCTGAAGTTGATTGCAGTTTTTTCATCTGTGAGAAAATTACATTCGAATATTATGAAAGTGTCAGAGGAAGAACTATTCAAGATCAAATTCCATTGTGAGTCTCTGAACAAAGGAAATTTGTATATTCAATATGTACCATGAAAAAATATAATCAACTTTTGCTAATTAAAACTCTAGTTTATTTTTGAAAATTTAGCACCTTTTTCCAATTTGCTGCAAAAAAAAAAAACTTAAAATTTCAATGTCCAATTGCCAGTCCTGCTTGTGAAAAATTCAAAGTGTATTTGATAGAACTCGTTTGCAGATCAGAATCCCAAAGGGGTTTCGGCTGCATGTGCCAAACTTTGGTAAAGCCTTTATATAGGCAATATTTACAGAGGGACCTCTATAGTTCAAAATATTTTTGGCAACATTTAGGTAAGAGATTTGAAATTTGCTAGAAATCTTTGGATTATATCTAGAATCATTGGTGCTGAAAATGGTAAAAGTTCCTCCCAATGTTAGATATTGCGAGGGGTATTCCATAAAGTAGATCGATAGGACCCACATTCTGAAATTTAGTAAAATTTTTTGTATATTATTTCCATGATTGACACTTTCTGCCTAAAGCGAAATTTTGTTTACTTTCAGACATTTCACATATACTATTAACATTCTTTCAAAAAAAACATACTTTTACAGACCTCCAACTCCTTATTCAAAAATGTCCAAGTGAGCGACGACAGGTACGCTTCATCGTATTATAGCGGCGAATAGTAACATTACACACTGATAGGTTTATGTCCGCGATAGGTAAACATTATTTTCGCTTGAACCACCAGTTAAGCGAATTCATGTAGTTGATAGGAAGTGGTAAATTACAGTTTTGAATTTTTAATTTCCTAATTTTTTTCTAATGCTGATTTTTTTATTTTTTTCTGACTACAACAAATAGTGAAAAGTCTAAAATTTTTATTTCAAAATCCTCGCACTCAATACATTCTATTTTAATTGAGAGAGATCTATTCGTAGAGCCTTGAAAAAGGGCAGTCTTGGTAATAAGGCTGGGTTTTGGAAGTTCATACGAAAAGTACTAAAATGTACTAAAAATTCTGCCATATGAAATGAGAGCCACTGATGAAGTGCAGGATACGTGTACCATAGGGTTTTTGGTAATTCGAACTTTAATGTTACAAAAAGTTCTAAAATGGTACTAAACTTCTACAATGACGTGAACAGGTGGAGCTAAAACCTTAAAATTTGGTATGAGAACCAAGGACGGAAAGTAAGTTTGATACATGAAGGTGGGATGAAACTGGAATTTTTAAATTTTGTGTTAGTTTTGAAAATGTAAATTGCAGTAGGTGTCTAGCCTAGACATATGGAGATGATTTTGGAAATATGTACTACAAGTACACGAAAAGTACTAAATGGTACTAAATTTGGTCTTGGCTATAGGTAGAGATAAAATTCCTAGATTTGATTTTTAGATTATTGTTAAATTGTTATTGTTATATTTAAATTAAAATATGGAGGTGATTTTGAAAATGCATATTATAATTGTACGATAAAATACTGAATGGTACTAAATTTGGTATTGGGTGAAAGGTTAGTACTGAAATACTCAAATTTTATATTGAGGTCCATATTGGTATCTAGGATTTAGATATAGACGTATATGTAGAAAAATATTCAATGCCGCTAAATTTGGTATTCGGTGAAGGGATAGTGATGGGATCCTCAAATTTGATATCGAGGTCATTGTTGGTGCCTGTGGTTAAGTTATGGAGGTGGTTTTAAGAATGAGTACTATAACTATACGATAAATACTAATCCATTCATTTGTTACCTGGAATTGAGACATAGAGATGGTTTTTGGAAATTTGCACTATAGTACAAAAGTACTGAATAGTAGTACTAAATTTGGTATTGGTTAAAGGTATAGAACTGGAATCCTCAAATTTAATATTGAGGTCCTTGATGGTATCTGGAAGATATGGAGATATGAAGGTGGTTTTGGAAATGTGTACTTTAATTGTATCAAATCAAATATAGTACTGAATTTAATATTGACTGAAGAGATAGAGCTGAAATCTTGAAATTAAATATTGAGGTCTCCATTGGTATCTGAAATTGAGATATGAGGGTGGTTTTGGAAATGTGTACTCATAATTGTACTAAATTTTACTAAATTCCGTATTGAGTGAAAGGATAGAGTTGATATACCGAAATTCGATGTTGAGGTTTCTATTGGTATCTGGAATTGATATATGGAAGTGGCTTTGGAAATAGGTACTATAATTGTACTATAAGTACTAAATGTGTTATTGGGACAAGGTATAGGACTGGAATACTCAACTTTGATATTGAGATATTAGGAGAAGGGATAGAGATGAGATTCCGAAATTGATATAGAGAGCCACTGTAGGTTTCTGGGATAGAAATGAAAAATTGGATGTGGGTCCAATGTGCAATAGTTTTACTTATATCCTCCTCGGTAAACTTTAAAATAAAAGATTTTGAAGACTTGTTAGTGTAAAACCTAAACATTTGTCAATTATTCGATCCGACAAAAGAAATCCTTGAATAATGTATAAAACCTTGAATGTCGGAAAATTTAGTACAGTGTATGAAAGCTTTAATACATTTTTTTATCTGGAAAAAGGCCTAACTCGAATTGCTGAAACGAATTTTAAATTTAAAGATGGACTTTTTGCTAACGAAGTATCAGGCACTTGCTGGTCTGGTATATAGTAAAAAGTAATGCTTTATATTCAAGTTACATTTATTTAACAAAGATTTCAAAACGTACAACATTGATCTACAAAAAATATGTACAATTTCATTTTTATATAATATATACATATATCTATATAATTTTATTTAAATAATTGGCATTTGTATTTGTTTTTGTTTATGATTAAATCATCTAATGATACGTCACTGTGCAGTTAAATATATTTTTGTCTTTTAAAATTGAGTTTTAACAATTTGTATATGTATATATTTTGGAAGATAAGTGGATTAACAAACATTTAACTATCTACAACTAGTTAACAGGTTTGAATTAAGTATTGATTTTTTCCTCTAAATGTTACTATATTTTCTGATAATACACAGATAATGGAAGTATTTCGGTTACATTTTTTTTGTTTGGTGGATACAAAGAGACATTGGGTTTATATGGTTGTTATTGTTTTGAAAATTTTTGTTGGTTTTGTTGTTTGTAAGTTTAATTAGTTTTGGTTTTCGAAGGAAGGAAGTTATTTTAAATCAGTCTTTTTATTTGACACGACGACGGCTACTGCTGTTGTTACGTCCCTTTCTGGGTGACATTATACCGGGCTTCTTTTTCGATATGTCAATGGTGGTACTTAGGGCAATGCCAAATTGAGCTGCATAATAGGTGATCATAATCCAGAGCTGGAAAGAGAAAAGTTACACAAAATTATGTTGGGATCTTTGATTCCGAACACAAATGTCTTCCATACTTACCCTTGCATTTGGAATTGATAGCAAGAACATATCCAAGGCAATCATACCATCAGACACCACAAACAATACACTGCAGATTGCACACAAAATAAACAGGGGAGTTTTTTGGTGGACGGTCCGGGCAGTGGCACGATAACACATGGTCAGCAAGAGGAAGCCATAAACGGGCATTCCCACAATCAAGACACCCTCAAGATGTTTGGCAACAACAGCAATGGCTAAAATCAATTCAAAAATAATACTTAATTTTATTCCCAAAATATATTAAATTTCCGATCCTTACCTACGGCCCATAACACAAAAAAGGGTATGCCCAATTTCCAATTCAGCGGCTTTAAACCAAATGCCGATATGTAAAAGATTTGAGCAACAGCAAATGAACCCATGCCATGTGGGAACATATCAATATTGAGCAGAACATCACCACCACACGAGAATACCAGGCCAATGAGTATCAGCAGGGAATATTTGTACCTGTGAAAATAGAAAATTAATCAAAATGTTTAAATTTAATATCAGATCATTACTTACTGTTTGTTGAATGCGAATCCCTTCATCACAACGAAAAACATAAGACTTACAATGGGTGCACACTTCAGAATGGTCGTCCATAGTTCACCGTGGGGATTTCTGACAAAAGCAAAGTACAAAACCACAAAATTGACAAAGGGTGCCAAATTGAGAGCTTGACTTTTACACTGGGGGAAGAGTAAAGAATAAAATTAAGATTTAATAAAAAATAGAAATAGTTCTAACTATCTAATGTTATAGAATGAATTAAAGTGCCAGCCAAAGCCTTGTCTTTGGGAATACATAGGAGTCTTATAAGTTATTTGTTGAAGATTTGAGAATTTGCTGAAAATGGTATGGAAGGTCATGCATATGAAACAACTAGCAAGTGCCCGGTACTTCGTCAGCGAAAAGTCTACCTCAAAATTTTAGATTTGGTCCAACAATGCTTATTAGGTCTTTTTAATACTAAAAATGCAACATTTGTACAGTTTGATAATTTTTTAACCAAACTTCACACGTCGTACGTAACTCTTAGACTTTCAAGGTTTAATATATTATTCAAATTTTTTACTTTTTCGGAAAGAATAATGAAAAAATGTTTACCTTTACAACAAAAAACCTTTAAGCTCTTTTATTTTGAAGTCTACCGAGAAGGATGTTAATAAAACCTTGCACAATGGACCCACATCCAATTTTTCTATTCATAACTATTTTAACGTATATATTAAATTTCAGAATTTTATATCCATCCCTTCACCCAATACCAAATTTGTTACCGTTTTGTACTTTTCATTCAATTATGGTACACATTTCCAAAACCACCTCCATACCACAATTCCGGACACCAACGGTGATCTCGACATGAAATTTCAGAATATCAGCTCTATTTCTTTACACAATACCAAATGAAATACTATTTAGTACTTTTCGTACAATTATACAGGGTGAGACGAAAAAACTGCAACCAAATTCAGACAGTTGTCATTTTTAAACGTCTCCTCCGACAGCTGTTTGGCTGGAAAACCACAAGTCGTTACAGCACTCCAGCATTTAACTGTGAATAAAAATTTTGTGTCTCCTACCATAATAGCTCGTTACCGTGATACTGGTAGCGTAGCCTAACGCCAAGGAAGTAAACGGAAGAAAACAGCAACATCAGCAGATATGGCTCGAAAAGTAAAGAAGCGACTTGATCGAAACCCGCGTCGCAATGGCCGAAAAATGGCTCGTGAGCTGAATATATCGCAATATTCCATTCGGCAAATATTGAAAGTCGGGGTCGGAAAGAAAATAGACTCAAAAGAGCTAAGAGTTGGCCAGTTGTGAAATGCAGAATTCGGTTTTCTCCGATGAGAAAACGTTCGTTGACCGGCAGTTTGTAAACAAACAAAATGATCGTGTTTACTTGCCACAGAGGTCACCTGAAAATGTGCATCTTAGGTTGGCCACCAGAACTCATGGTGATGGTATGGGCCGCCATAACAGCCCATGGTCGCTCTCCGCTCGTATCAGAACAAATGCCGAATACTCTCGCAAAAATATTCTGGAGATTGTATTAAAGACATGGGCACACGAACATTTTGGCCGCAGACCTTGGATATTCCAACAGGACTCAGCATCATCGCACTCAGCACGCGCCACCCAAGAATTGTTACAAAATGAGGTTCCTCGCTTAATTTGCAGCGCACAATGGCCACCAAAATATCCGGATAACAATCTGTTGGACTATTGCGTCTGGAGTATTTTGAAAAGCAAGGTTGGCTCTAATACAAAAGTGTCGACCACCTGAAGCAAGCGCTTCGCCGGGAATGGGCCAAAATAACGAAGAGCAACATTCGGGCAGCGTGTGACGGTTTCATTGGCCTTTTGAAGGCCATAATTCGTGCCAAAGGTGACCAATTCGAACATTCCGACATTTTTTGCTTTCATTCAATAAAATTTAAAAAAAAAATGCAAATCCTATTTTCAAGTAGATTTCCTCCTCTTTACATTCCAAATACCAAAAATAAACTTTATATTGATGATATATCAAGTACTGGGCATGTATAGAAACTACCTAGAGATTATAGTTAAAAAGAAACTATAGAGAAGAGATTCTAGTTAATGAGAACCCAAATTGAAAAACTGTAGTTTATTCCTTTGGAAATTGTTGCTGAAACCTTTGAAATGCCCAAAATCAGGGGGTACATCTTTATGAGGTTTATGCCGAAACGTCTACCGATACACCACATTTTCAATACCAATAACAAGGTATTGTTCCGAATTTCAGAACTTTACATAAAATAATGAAGACTCAGATATGCAAAATGTGAAGACGGAATGAGTACCTTTTGGTACTTTTCGTAGACTTAGCATTCGAAATCCCTAAAAACGGTTTTGTTACATCTATGCTACACTAAAGCAGTGACACATTATGCATGCCATTCCACCAATACTAATGGCACCCTCTTATTACGAACTTCCAGAATACTTTCCAACCTTTGAAATTTTAGGAAATTCGTAATAAAAGGATACGAAAAGTACTAAACATTTAATACTTTCTCAAATATGGAAAGAGAGTATCTTATGGAGTACAGGGTTTTTATAAATTCGAACAAAACTTCTAAAATGGTCCCATTATGTGAATGGACAGAGCTAAAAACTGGAAATTTGATATTAGTATCAGGGTTGAAAAGTATGTATGATTTATGATGTAGGTAAATTTTTGTATTGGGGTTCCTGTTAGTGGAAGATTTTTTATGAAGATATGGTTTTGGAAATGTTTACTGCATGTGTACGAAAAGTACTAAATAGTATTTTTTGCAAAATTGGTGAGATAATGCTTGAAATCTGAAATTTGGTATTGGGTCGCTATTCGTGTTAAGCCTAAGCATACGGAGTGATTTCGGGAATTTTTACTATGTTTGTACGAAAAGTACTAAATGGAATTTATGGAATGTACTTACAATTTTGAAATTTGTATCTGTGTTTAAGATTTGTCGGTGTTTTGGAATACTCGCTATATTTGTACGAATAGTACTAAATGGTACTAAATTAGATATTGGGTGAAGGGATAAGACTGGAATACCGAAATTTAATATTGAGGTCTTTGTTGGTATCTCAAGTTGTGAGGTTTTAGAAATATGTACTATATTTGCACAAAAAGTACTAACTAGTACTTAATTTTTTATTGTATAAAGGGATAGAGCTGTAATCCTGATATTTGATATGGATGTCCCTATTGTAGCTGAGAAAAGGAGATGGTTTTGGAAAAGCATACTGTGAACGTAAGAAAAGTGCAGAGCTTGAATTCTGAAATTTGATATTGAGCACTTTGATGGTTTCTAAGATTTAGATATGGCCAATTATTATTATTAAAGACGTTGAAATAGTATTGGGCAGAAAAATTGGATTGTGCAAGGGTTTGACTAATATGCTCTTCGGTAACTTCAAAACCAAAGAATTGGTAAATTTTTTGATTATCATTTTCGTTAAAGGAAACATTTAAACATGAAAAATAAAGTGAACTGGTGCAGTGGAAAATTTAGTAATATGCATAAAGATTTGTATGGAAATGTTGTTCAGAAATAATGATACCAATTTTGAACACAAAAAAAGAACTGTTGGACCAAATCTAAAATTTTAAAGTGAAATTTTAGCGGGCGCCTGCTAATTTTTATATAACTTTTTGCCTATATTCCATAACAAGAATCACACGAGTATTTAAAAAATCGGTCTACCGAAACATTCGGCCTGTAATTTAATTTTAATAGTTTCACGATTAATTTGAATGATTAGTGATTGGTCAATTAATACTTTAAAGGACATCAATGTAAAATTTTGATAAAATGTTTTTAGTTTTAAAAAAATATATAGGCTAAACTAAAATAGAGAAATTCGTTTCCACTGGTTAATCGGATAGCAACCATATATTTCAACAAATCTCCAACAAGAAGCTATAAATAACGGTGATTAGATTAAAGACCAACTATAGATAAGTTTGATCAAGTATATGCCAATGGGTGTCGAAAACTACAGAATCATTGGTGGCAAAGACAAATATTTTCGATAATCTACTGAAAACGATACTGTACGACACTGTTGTTAGTAAAAGCGATAAGACTTTATGAGAGTTATATTGTTGCATGCGTATTGAAATTCGACCATTAATTTACATATCGCCCATTTACCCGCTGAGTGTCAAAATTAAAAAAATTGATTTGGCAGGAAACTAGTTTTAAATATTCGTTGGAAAATGGCATCCTACACCAAAAAGCTGATCACTTGAGATATGAGGATGAAATTCAGATCATTGCTATTGGATATGTGAAACATTACCCCAAGCTCAAGTAAGCCATAATCCATAAAGCTAACATTATAAGAGACATAAATATGTATTTCTCATCATTATCTAGGCAACTCCAATGACATCTCTTTAGAACAACCTATGTTTTAAGTTGAATACCTATCCTTTTTGCAATACGAAAGCTCTTTCATCTACATATTCATCCTTTTTGGTTATCAAAAAAGCTCTTCTCTTGTAAAAATATGTTATTGTTGCACAAAAACGCACAGAACCAGAACACACACCGACAGACAAGGTCAAGGACGCACAGGAAAACATACAATTTTCGCCTTCGACAATAACAAATGGACAAAGGGCGCGCAATAGGACCTTGTTTTGTAACAAAAAAACAATTTGGACCATAAATCACAATTAACATGAATGGTAGATAGCTATAATTAGAAATAAGTAAGGAATGCAAATTCAAGCAATTGTTGTTTTTTTTTTTAAATTTCGTAAAATTCACATCAAACAAAATATCCACAAAGCATGCAAAGGTAATAGAAATCCATGGAATTTCTGGCAAACAATTGGAAGCACAAGTAATGATTAAAATAATTTTCCAAAGCCAATATCAAAACTAAAAGCCAAAAAGCAATAACCATGAATTAAGAAAAAAAAAACTAAATTCTTTGGATGTCTGTACCTCTGCATGGGGCGGATGAGGACTTACAAGGTGAATTAAATCCGTCATTTTGTAAATTTCCGGTAATGATTTTCCACAGAATCAGCCACTTTCTCGACAATGTTTTGAAAAAATTGCGTGCACTTTTGTTGATGTTGCTATTGTTTTCTTCACCGTTTTTTTTTTTTTTTGCGCAGCCAGATACTCAAGTGATTGACCCCACTCACAAACCCAAAAGAACACACCGACACACGAACACGTACCCACAAACACGTTACACTGGCAAATTTTTTCTGAAGCGTGCCTGGTGCCGTACGAAGCGTTTAACTAAATTGACTGCCAGCAACTAACTAAACTACGGCGAAAACTCTCACTCATGCATCTAATTAGTGCCAAAGGTCTAGCTGGCTTTATCATTTGACAATTTCACTTACATACATACATATTTATTTATCTCGCTCTCGAGCCGGTAGCTACATACACACTAGCAACAAAGAGAGCTTTACGGCAGATAACAAACATAACAAATTTATTTATTTGTTGGAGGTTTGTTTGTTTGTTTTTATAAAATGCGTTCTGTTTTTTTGCCTCCCGCTCTTTCAAAACGCTCTCTCGGTTGGTGGGTTTTTTATCAATTAAGCTCTTTTTGAACAACCCCACTTTGGCACTCTCGTGAAATTTAAAACTCAGAGAAAGTTTGCATGTGAGAGAAAAGAGACACGGAATAGGTTTTTTGTTATTTTGAGAGAAAGCTCATTTTATGCTATCACTGAATGTTGAAACGTAATGTAAACAATCAACAGGTGAACCGAGCTTTATTTATTGTGTGACCTACTCTTTATGTGACAATCGGCAAACCTGACACGTGTAATATCCTATTGTAAAACAAGTTCGACCCGGCTTCATTATAATATATACTTAATTAAAATTAGGTTCAAATCTCAGGGAGCTGAGAAACCGAAATGAAGGTTGATATATGCGGCAGAACACTAAAAATCCCTAAACTCACGAAATCCAGCTAATTCCGTGCTGATTAGATTCATATTCCTTTGCGATAGATTTTGTTCTGAGGTCGCACGAGGGCTTCGCAAAAACTTTGGATAGAAAAAAGAACATTTAAATCATATTTCTGTTCTAACTTTTCAAAAAAATAAATAAAAACAATACAACATTTCTTGATAGGTGTGCCAATTGGACCCTAAACGTGGATTTCTCAGAAATATTTTTAAACACTTCAACATACTATTTTCTCATTTCGTTTGTAACTCCTCGAAATACAGGGTGAGATAAAAAAATCTGCAACAAAGTCAAACGCCATAATTTGGCCCATTCCCGGCGAAGCGCTTGCTTGAGGTGATCGACACTTTAGTCCAACGGATTGGTATCCGGAGATTTTGGTGGCCATTGTGTGCTGGAAATGAAGCAAGGAACCTCATTTTGTAAATATTCTTGAGTGACGCGTGTTGAGTGCGATGGTGCTGAATCCTTTTGGAATGTACAAGGTCAGCGGCCAAAATTTTTGCGTGCCCAAGGCTTTAATACACCCTCCAGAATATTTTCGCCTTAAAATTTGGCATTTATTCTGATGCCACGGTCGATAAATACGAGCGGAGAGCGACCATCGGCTGTTATGGCGGCCCACTCCATCACCATGGCCGGCGCTTGAGTTCTTGTGGCCAACCGAATGGGCACATTTTCAGCAGACCTCTTTGGCAAGTAAACACGATCATTTTGTTTGTTTACAAACTGATCGACAACGAATGTTTTTTCATCGGAGTAAACCAAATTTTTCATTTTTCAATATTTGTCGAATGGAATATTTCAATATGTTTTTTTTTTTGGTAACTGCGGCGCGGATTTCGTTCAAGTCGCTTCTTTACTTTTCGAACCATTTCTGCTGATGTTGCTGGTTTCTTCCGTCCACTACCTTGACGTCGGTCTACGCTACCAGTATCACAGTAACGAGCGATGGTACAAGGCACAAAAGATTTATTCACATTTAAATGCTGGAGTTCTCTAACGATAGCCACTCGTAACAAAAATCACGCTTGCATTCTATCACGAAAAACTTTTTTTCTGGAAAATTCTCACCAAAATGGACAAATTGATATAGAAGGCGAAAATTTTCCACACATGTGTATTTTGTCAGTAGGCAGATTAAGTTTGTAAATGTTTCATGGTAACTCCTTTTTATCGGTGTTTTGATAAAATTAGCGTCATTATTCAACGGAATTGTTTCAAATTTCATATTTGATTTTCGGAATCGGTACTACAACCTATGCAGGTTCACGTCTTCGTTTAGCCACCATTTAACGATACCTCCCTATATTCGGTACTTTAATAATTTTTGTGACACAATTCACCGGAATTGTTTTAAATTTCGTATTTAAGGTAGTAATGGATACTTCAACCTATGACATGAAATAATCTATGCAGATACATGTCTTCGTAGATCCCACATTTAACGTGAGGTACCACCCTGTTTTCGCTATTTTGATAATATAAGCGACATCTTTGAGAAATAAACTTTGATGCACTGTTGGAACTCTAAATGTGGGTCTATAAGGAAGATTTGTTGATGCACCTTGGAATTTCAAACGTAGAAGATAGGTTTTTTGAGATAGAAATTTGAACTAAAATTCATTCATTAGGAAGACTTTTTTATTATGAAGATGATGAACTGTTGGAACTCCAAAAGGGAATCTTTTAGAAATATGTTTTGATGGACTGTTAAAACTCCAAATGTGGATCTCAGAGGAATATATTTAGATATACTGTTATAATTCCAAAGGTAGAACTTTAAGTTAGGTTTTTGATGGTCTGTTTGAAACCCAATATAAATCAACCTTATAACGAATATTTTGAGATAATTTTGATATACTTTTTGGGACGTGCAGCTTTAAGACACATTTTGATGGGCTTTTTATACCCTCCACCATAGTATGGAGGGTATATTAAGTTTGTCATTCCATTTGTAACACCTACGAAATATACATTTTTGATCCCACAAAGTATATATTCTTGATCAGCATAAAATTCTATGTCGATTTAGCGATGTCTGTCCGTCTATCCGTCTGTGGAAATCACTCTAGCTTCCGAACGAAGTAAAGTAGGTTGATAAAATTTACTTAAATATGTTTTATGTCTGCAGGACTTTTGGTATTGAAAATGTGTCATGAAAGTCCAAGTTTTAGTATAGCCCTAATATAATGGTACCTCCCAATATTCGGTATTTTGATGATTTTAGCGACATTATTCACCGGAATTGTTTCAAATCTGGTATTTGAAGTTCGTAATGGATACTACAGCCTAAGACAGAGATTTGGCTGTCCAGGTCCACGTCTTCGTATAGCCGCCATATAACGGTACCTCCCGATATTCGATATTTTGATGACTTTAGCTACATTATTCATTTATTTTCAAGTTTCGCATCTGAATATTGTAATGGCTTATGACAAAAGTTGCCTATGCAGGTCCACGTCGTCGTATAGACTTTAATGTAACGCCTACATTCGCTATTTTTAAAATTTTAACGGTTTTATTATTATTATTATTATTATTATTATTATTATTATTATTATTATTATTATTATTATTATTATTATTATTATTATTATTATTATTATTATTATTATTATTATTATTATTATTATTATTATTATTATTATTATTATTATTATTATTTTATTTATTTTTTATTTTTTTTTTTTTTTGAAAATTTCCAAATTCGTTCCAAATGGTGGAGGATATTTAAAGCTCGGCCCGGCCGAACTTACAACTTTCTTACTTTTTTTTAATTTGAAACCTCATTAGTTGCTATCTAAAGGTGACATATATTTTTCCATTTGTACTTTAGTGGGACCATAGGGTAGAAAATCGGATCGTGTTTCAGTTCCAAATTTCAAAAGAAAAGCTCCTTGCAAACAATTATAAATATAGCTTCACGTCTTGGTATAGCTCTTACATAAATATACCCCTGATTTTAATGATTGCAGGGATTTTCTGTGAAGCAATAAAGATGTTTGAAAAAATTAAGAAAACTAAACATCATGTATAGCGTGCAAATTTCATTGGATAAAAGCTTTGCGAAAGCTTTGATTTTTGAATGCATGTAATAGAGTTTGCGCCCAAGAGCATATCCTGAAAACGAAAGCTTTTCACATTGAAACCTACTGACACATTTGGTCAGTTAACAAATAAGCATACAGTTCCTTTAAAGCTGTACAACAAACAAGTTTATATTATTAAAGGTAGGTCCTGAACAAGTGTAGCTACGTGTGTGTGTTTGTGTGTGCGAAGAACAAAAGTGAAAATAGACTGGAAGTTACTATATAAAAATGCAATAATAATTAAGATTATCTTAAAAACCATACAAAATAACAGAGAAATAATATATTTTGTAAAAGCTAAAATAAAACCTATGGAAACAAACAAATTTCTTGGAAGTTTCTGAGTTGCAAGTTACGAGTGAAGTAAAAAAAGAACATTGTGTGTGTATCCTTAGTTTTTCCATTTCTTCATGTGGAGTATACACATGACCCTATTGCACTGAAATTAGATTAATGTAAAGAGTTTTCTTTTTTCATGCAAACAAGGAAATGTCCTTTGTGTGAATGCAAACCAGAAATTAGTTAATTTTTGCCATGTAATCTCCTCAAGATTTTTGCTTAAGTGCTGACCCTTCATCTTTTTGTGTGAAAAGGACATAACATTGGATTGTCCTTTGCATTTCCTTTATTCTTAGATTCACAAATTTAACATTGAACTTGGAAATGAAATGAAAATTGCATTGTTGGAAGAAATTTACAAATATGCATATTACATGTGTCCAAACAAACAAACCAACACACATACACTAAAAATAGAATACATTTCAGAGGTGTATGCAAAATGCGTGTGTGTGTGTCGATGTGTGCTATAAACTCATTGTCTATTGTTCACCGTTCACCATTCACCTTTTGCTTGATTTCCATTTGGTCTTCAGATTCACATTGGTTTTTTTATTCCTTCTTTTAGATTGCTTTGCCGGTTGTCTGCCTGCCATAATTCTGAGGACCACTTAAAAGGCCCTTCTGCTGCCTCCCTCTCGCTTGCTCGGTGTGGGTTAAGTACCCTGTAAACTGTGCGACAATGGCCTGTCCTTACTTTCGCCGTGCCGATTCACTGTCACGCCAACCATCAGTGGTTACAGAACCTTCAGGCAATTGGACCTTGGAAGATGAGGAACAATCCGGCGATGCTCTGACGCTGACTCATTTGCAAATGGCAATACAGCTGTTGACAGCGCCATCGGTAAAATTCAATGAGAAAATCATGGATTTGAATTGTCTAAACAATTGCATTATATTTATTTGCAGAATGAAGATTTAAATACTGCCGTAACAGCACTTATATTGAAGTATCGCAAAAACTGGCCAAATATATCCAAGCTGTAAGTATAACATGACAATTTAAAGCAGGCCTAGGGAAAATTGAGATATTTTGATATTTTTTCAAGTTGCACCCTCACCTTACCTGTGGGGGAATAATAAGAGCTGGAAGATATATGAAATACCAAAAAAATTAGATTGAAATATTCTTGTATGTATACTCTCAAAAATATCATATATCTCAAATACCAAAATTACAGAAAAACAAGTAAGCAAAGGCTACAGTCGAGCGGGGCCGACCGTTGAATACCCTACAACACTACAATATGTTCGAAGTCCCCTTATATCCATTTTGGAAGATTTCGTTTTTGAAATAAAGTCAAAGAGCCCCGGCCTATATTTATGCACTCCGTAGTGTTGTTAATTGTCAGTCAAAACAATTTCACCCGAAAGTTGTGGTCCATTTTGCAGTCATCCAAAATGCTAGACTTCTTCCCTGACTTTAACTCTCTTCTGATGCGAAATTCCGCGTCGATTAGTTTCAATTGTAACCTATAGAGCGACTACAAAATTAGAAAAAATTAAATTGTTTAGTCCATTTGCACCTCTAAATGTACATCTTAAGAACAATAGGCTTTAATTCTGACCCTAACCCTACCCCCATGCAAAATTCCGTGAGGATCGGACGATAATTGCGATATGCATATAATACCCTCAAAACGTAGTCAAATTTAGAAATTTTACAATTCAAAATTGTAAGTCAAATTGAAAAAATCGCATGCGATAAAAAATATGACAAAAATTGAAAAAATTCGACAAAATATATTCACTTTTTTAATGGTATATACCAATTTTTCCGCGATTTTCTTACATTTTATCGTTTTCTGGCAAGATACCATTTCGAATGGATGGGAATTGTGAAAATCGGCCCAGCGGTTCTGGATTTATAAGCAGAATAAATAAGATAAATTGTTTTACATATATATTGTACCTATTTTGCTATATATCCGATTTCTTGGCTATTAGCATCACCGTAAAGGTCAGAAGTGATATTTTAATGTATTTGTGATTTGGATAGCATTGAATATATTCGCGGTTTAGTGGAAATTTTCCTATTTTCTTACATAAAAGTTAGAGTCTATTTTACCCGCTAATTATTGTCCGATGTCCACCTAAATTGGTAGGTTTCTGCCCATTCCTAAACTGTAACTGCATGTAAATTTTCGCGTCGATTGGTTTATAATTGTGGCCTATAGAGCAACAGCAAAATCAAGAATTTTTCTGTTTTTGGTCCATTTCAACCCCTAAATGTCGTGCGATCATCTCCAAAAACAACAGGGTTCTATTCTGACCATAACCCCACCTCCATTTTTAATTTCGTGAGGATCGATTCATAATTGCGACCTGTAGCTTGATTGATTAAAATGGACAGACGGACGGACGGACATAGCTAGATCGGCTCAGCTCGGCGAGCTAGGAAGATCCATATATACTTTCCTATGTGGGAAACCATTATTTCGAGGTGTTACATAATTTTTGGCCCAATCAAACTTATAATACGCCCAACACATAGTGTTGTAGGGTATAAAAATATGAAAATACCTTCAAAATATCGAAAATATTGTGATTCCGCTATGAGCGTATAAAACCAAAATTGACTTACACATAATTTTCTACTTTTCTATACTACTTTTCTACAAATACACATTTTTGGAAAAATGTGACAAAAATCATCAAAATACGGATTTTCAATACTAATATAAAATATAAATTGTTCTGCCAAATTTTGAAATTCTATGTCAAATGTGTGTGCTGTATCGTGATTTCAACAGACAGACAGATGGATACCCTCCTTTTCAAGGTGGAGGGTATAATAATGTATCAAAAAATTTGTAGATTGGTCCACGTTTAGACATAGTCCTCAGATAACGATATCCGATATTTAAAGAAAAAATTACCGAAGACTTAAAGTGTATTTTTTATTAAAATCTGGTATCTGGATACTTGATGTCATTGCAAAATAAGTTTATATCGGTCCACAAATTGATATAAATTCCTCAAAAGTCTAACCCGATCTTGTTTCATTGGACAATTTTTACCAAATTTTTAAAGTCGATTTTTTTGAAATTTATTTTTGGAATAGGGTAACACATTTATGGGCCAAAAATTGTCGACATTGAAGATGTTTTTGATATTGCTCCCATTTAATCGTACACCGAATTTTGAGGAATTTGCAAGATTTTGGCAAACATTTTTAACAGATTTTGATGTACAAACGCTTTTAAGATTATGGGAAAAAGTTAGAGAATGTCAAGGAATGCCCTAGGAAGTAGAACTAACCTCATTTAACAGTATTCTGAGAAAAAAAAGCTGTTGAAAAAGGGGAACTCTAAGAGTATATTTCTACTTCAGTTAAAAATGAATGTATATCATTAACAATGCTATTGTTCAATCTAAAAAATATAAAACACTAGAATTTTGTGTATTATAATTGTTGAACTTTATATAAACAAATCCGTGTGGCGAAAATCATCAAAATATCGAATATCCGGAGGTACCGTTTTATAGCGGCTATTCCAAAATGTGACCCGATATATCCTCAACTTTTGACCCCATGTTGACGCTATTTCTATTTCTAGTCTTTTTTTTCAAAAAGTTTCTTCCTTCGAAAAATGCGAAATGTGGATTTTGATGACTTAAAGTAAAATGTGATAAAGAATAACTCTGAGACCAATTTTATGACAAATAATTCTATTTAAAGGGAGGTTTTAAAGTTTTAAATATTATCGGATTGTTATAAGCTGATTTCATTAAGTACAGTTCTTATACTAAGTACGCATTTCAAAAACCACCAACTTATATCAACCCTTTTCCCACGAATTGATTCTCACACCATATTTCACGTTTTTACCACAATCTCCTACATAATTTCAAATGGTACCAATTTAAGTGCATTTTGGTACCCTTTAGTTTGTTTTTCATATACAACATCAAGGAATCCCACTGCAAATTTCATATTTCCAGCTCTATTCCTTCCCCAAATACCGAAGTTAATAAAATTTAGTTCCTTTCGTGATTATTAGTACGTATTTTTAAATCCCCCAAGGGATCGAGTTAGATTTCCTTGCCCAAAATCCAAATTTAGTATCTTTTAGTACTTTTTAGTACGTTTTTTGAAAACCACATACAAATCTCAAGTCTACAAACTAACAGTGACGCTAATGCCAAATTTTTGATTTCAAGCAGTACAGGGTTGCCCATATTCGACGGACCTTTGAGCCCTTTGGGCCCATTCCAATCGACGGGGCTTGCCCGCAGGCAACATTCTTTGCGTCAATTAAATTTTGTACGGGAACAAATTCAAATCAATGCGAATAATCCGTTGTAAAGTGGACCGAGCCATGTCCAACTGCTGTGAACGGCGTTTTTGGAATGTTCTTGGGGACCTCTCAACACTGGCTCGTACGGCAGCGATATTCTCGGCCGATCGCCTTGGTCGACTTTTATATGGCGTGGCGTGGTAAAAATCTGCTTGGACTGACGCTTCAAACGCGGTATGTCATTAAGCGATGTGACATCTCTGTCAAAAGTTATGGCGTTGCCAGATGGGTCCGTCGAATATGGGTAACCCTGTATACGTTCACTCAATACCAAATGTAGTACTATTCAGTACCTTTCGTACACATAAGTACAAATTTCCAAAATGTTTTACATACTCCAATCCTACATGCCAGCATTAATCTTAATTACAAAATTCAGGATTCCAGCTCTATCGGTTCTTCCAAATCCAAATTGTACCAAATTTAGTACATTTTAGTACATAAAAGTACAAATTTTCAAAAGTAGCTCCATATCCCAATCCAACACTCCGACAATAACAATTCAAGATACCAGCTCTATTGGTTCAACCAAATCCAAATTGTAGCAAATTTAGTACCGTTTAGTACTTTTCGTACATATAAATACAAATTTCGAAAATTTAGGATCCCAGCTACATCCGTTCCTTCAAACTCAAATTGTACCACATTTACTTCCAAAACTACCTCCCACTACTGATTAACCTTGATTTCCATTCCAAATTTCAAGTTTTTAGATCTAACCGTTCACATGATACGAAATGGAAATGTAGTACATTTTACTACCTTGCGTCCCTTTGGTACATTCATTATACTCTCCATCAATGACCTTCATTCCAAATTTAAGAGTTATAGCTCTACTGGTTCCTCATATACAAAGGCTACCATACTTAGTACATTTTAGTTCTTTCGTACCGTTCTAGTACGAATTTCAAAAAACTCCGTCTTAACTGACACTAAGTCTTAACCATCACCCAAAATTTCAAGATTTTAGCTGTGGCAGTATCGGGTATCGGGTTCTAATAAAGAATAAGTAAAAAAATCAGCTAAGTTCAGCCAATCCTCCATTTTGAAGGAGCTTTAATAATATAAAAAATTCCTTGAAAAACGCCGCTATTATATAACAATCCACAAAATCAGGTCTTACAGTTACATGAAGATGTACGAAAGCCTAGACCTCAACAGCCAATTATCTGCCAGAGTGGGTGGTGACTATTACGAACTCCAAATGCATAGTTTGAGCAAATTCTGTTATCATAGAATGCCGTTAAAGAAGTGTTTTCGTATATTTCGAGGTGTTACGAAAAAATGGCAAACTTAATATACCCTCCATTGTAAGATGGAGGGTATAAAAATTATCTTGTGTTACTCCAGCAGTTTTTCAAGTTGTGATTTTTCTGTCAAATTTAAAATGTCCTTCTTTTTTTCAGGCAAATTGATTTGGAGACCCTAAAGACCTATCCCAACTACGACTACCTGGCTGATATTCAGGAAATCCTTCTGGAAATGGATGAATCCAGTGCCAGTGAAATTCTGGTATTGCTTGGCGAAGAGTTGGTAACGTCATGCTGCACGGGTATTATAGAAAGAGCCTTCAGATGTTTGGGTACTGAACTGCAGGAATTCTTGGGTTCACTGGATGGGGTCTATGATGTGTTGAAATTTCAAGAGGTAAAGTAAAAACTAATATTTTTGAAGAAAATAAATAAATATGTTAAAATTTCAGGACGATGATAGCAGTGACACAGGCTTCGTGTGTGCCGGTGATGGTGAATTGATATTTACCTCAGAACGACCCGTTATTGCCTGGCTTTTGTTGGGTTCGCTGAAAGCCCTTACAAGAATTCTTTTCAATGTCCAGGTCAATATAAAAATTGAACCTGTGGAGGGTGATAATCGCCGTTATCGTTATCTGTTTTCGTTGGCCAAGGATGGCCATGCCCGTGAGATGCGTGTCGTTAGTAAATCTGTGGAGGGACCAGTACAGCGTAGTAATTCGACCAATGCCTCGGATTTGACCATGAATTCCAGTACATTTTGTAAGGCATTTCCATGGCATTTTATTATGAATGAGGACTTGGAATTGGTACAATTGGGTGAGTGAACGAGGTCCACATATTTCTGATATTTTTTAATATTATATTTTTTTGGTAGGTCGTGGTTTCAGTAAGCTTTACAAACCCTATATGGCCGAGTTCGGCTGCCACGCCACCACTTATTTTGATTTTAAGCGACCAAAAGGCTTGACTCTTAAATTTCGGGATATTGTGCGCCGCACCTGCACCCCCTTTTTGATTGCCCTGAAAAGCCCTCCCGATGTCCAGGAATTTACAGCCAAGGTAAGCTTAAGCAAAGAAAGCTGTGAAATTTTTAATATTTGAAAACCTTTCTCCTTCCAGGGTCTTGAGATCAAGGGCCAAATGGTCCATTGTCCCGAATCCAATTCATTGCTCTTCATGGGTTCACCATTCCTTGATGGCTTGGATGGTTTGACATGCAATGGTCTCTTCATTTCCGATATTCCGTTGCACGATGCCACTCGTGAGGTAATATTGGTGGGTGAACAGGCCCGTGCCCAAGATGGCCTACGCCGACGCATGGACAAATTGAAGAGCTCCATTGAGGAAGCCAATGCCGCCGTCACCAAGGAGCGTAAGAAAAATGTCAGCCTCTTGCATTTGATTTTCCCAGCGGAGATTGCCGAACGTCTGTGGTTGGGCGCCAGCATTGATGCCAAAACCTACCCAGATGTCACTATACTTTTCAGTGACATTGTGGGCTTTACCAGCATCTGTTCCAGGGCCACACCATTCATGGTCATCAATATGTTGGAGAGCTTGTACAAGGATTTCGATGAGTTTTGTGATATGTTCGATGTCTACAAAGTGGAGACTATTGGTGATGCCTACTGTGTGGCCAGTGGCTTACATCGGGCCTCGATCTACGATGCTCACAAGGTGGCTTGGATGGCTTTGAAAATGATTGATGCCTGTTCCAAACACATTACCCATGATGGTGAACAAATCAAGATGCGTATTGGCCTGCATACTGGCACCGTATTGACTGGTGTTGTGGGTCGAAAAATGCCACGTTATTGTCTGTTTGGTCACAATGTTACCATTGCCAATAAGTTTGAGTCCAGCAGTGAGGCCTGTCGGATTAATGTTAGTCCCACGACCAGGGAGTGAGTAAAGCTATAAAATAACCACTAGAGTAAATTTTATACCTTCTGTTTTTTTTTCCAGATGGCTCATAAAATATCCTGGCTATGAATTCGATTTGAAGGCACGAGATCCCTCCTTCTTGCCCAAGGAGTTCCACAATGCCGACAATGGTACCTGTTATTTCATGGATCACTATCGCCACTTTTCCATGGATGAGAGCTTGCCGTTGGATGACCACATTACCGCAGCCATGAAATCCATACAAACCCCAGCAACTGAAACTTAAGTGGAGAACATGGAGACAAGCGTACCGATTATAAATAATGGGCATTGAGGGTACGATTACCCACAGTCCATATTTACTCAATTTTAAATGTTTAGCGAGATTTGCAAAAGAAATCTGAACTTAAAAGAAGAAGATTGTTGTTTAATTTAATCTAAAATAAAATAGAAATTTATTCAATAAACCTAAACGCATTGGATGTCTTGTCTAATATTCCCGTGACACTTCATCTCTTCGTTGGCTGACCAGTGGAAACTCAGGACTGTATTTCTTAAGGCATGTCTGCAACTCAAATACTTCATCTTTTAGATTGTTTTCATGATAGTTGCCATTGGCATGATGGACACACATTTTAATCACTTGCCGTCTGTCTTCACTATTCGCTTGGGCTTCTTCATAGCTCAAAATTATTTCAGATTCCTAAATTAGAAAAAGATGAAACACAATCGAGTTCATTTTCATATACTTTGTGAAAATTTTAAATACTTACATCAATTCTCCCATAGCCATCCAAATAATGATAATTCTGAAATAGGCATTCCAATTTACTTTTGTAATGTCCCAAAAAGCTAATTTCAGGTGACTGGGAATTCTCAGTTACAGTTTCCACACCTTCTTCAATGGAATCGCAGAACTCCGATGCGGATTGCCCAATTGATTTGGAAGGCTACAAATAATAAAAAAGACCGTTTCTTTTGAATCGAATACAAAATATGAAGATCCCATCTCTATACGTCAAAACACATCATGGTACCAAATTAGTAGCTTTTAATTCTTTTCGTAAACTTAAAGTACGAAATTCTTAAAAACACACATATGTATTTGGTATACTCCACCAGTGACCATTCATATCCAGTTACAGAATTCTAGCTCCATCCGTTCACCCAAAACCTATATTGTATCGAATTTACTACAGCTCTAACACTTATCTCCCAAAACCACACAACTTGATTTGCATACCAACATTCTACATCCATTCAGACAATCTCAAATGATTCCAAATTTAGTGCATTTTAGTAATTTTGGTACACTTTTTCTGCATATCCCAAACCCCTCCGCTTCGTAGCTCCTACACACCATCAAATATGTCCATTTCAGATTTTCAGCTCTATTCCTTCCCCTAATACCAAATAACTTTTCGTACTTTTCTTAATACATGTTTAAACCACTTTCATATCTCAACCCCCAGCTTCCAAATTGGACCGTATTACCAAATTTCATATTTCCCTCTGCTTCGTCACTCCTACACGACATCAAAGACGTCCATTTCAGATTTCCAGGTTTATTCATTCCCCAAATTCCAATTTTATACTTTTTAGTACTTTTCGAACTTTTTTAATACATATTTCAAAACCACTTCATATCCCAACGCCCACCTCATAAAAAGTAACCCTACTACCAAATTTCATATTTCCAAATCCATCCCTTCCTCATACACGAAATTTATTACAACTTTGAATTTTTGGTACGTTTGTAGCACATATCCAAAACTACCTTCAAATCTCAACCCTAATACCAAATTTAATACTATTTAGTACTTTTCGTAATTTTTTTAATACATATTTCCAAACCACTTTCATATCCCAACCCCCCACCTCACAAAAACTGACCCCATTACCAAATTTCAAATTTACAAATCCATCCCTTCCTCATACACGAAATTTATTACAACTTTGAATTTTTGGTACGTTTGTAGCACATATCCAAAACTACCTTCAAATCTCAACCCTAATAACAAATTTAATACTATTTAGTACTTCTCGTACCTTTTTAATACATTTTTCCAAACCACTTTCATTTCTCAAACCCCACCTCAAAAATGGTGACCAAACTTTATACTTCAAACTCTATCCCTTCTTCATATACAAAATTTAGTGTCATTTACAACTTTTCGTACTTTTTTAGTATATATTTCCTAAACCACCTCCAATATCAAATTCCAGCTTTATCCATTCTCCCAAACCCGAATTGTAACAAATTTTGTCCCAACTTAATTCTAATACGAAATGTCAAGATTTTATCCTTTTCCGCTCACATAATACCAAATTTGCGGCTTGTAAGTATTTTTAGTATATTTATAGTTTTGAAAATCTTTGGTATATCTAATCTCAGTGACACTCATTCAAAATTTCAGAATTTTAGCTCTACCCTATTGACCAATACATTTCATTCACTTCAACTGCTCAAATATCTTAAACTTTTTGACAATGTCAACCTTGGGGTTCCAATATTTGGAATGTTACAATTTAGTGTAGGGATCATTGTAAGTGTACATGGGTGTATTAGATAAAGAAGTCGTTCTGGAAATGTGTGCAATATGTTGGCGAAAAGTACTAAAGTAGTACTTAATTTGGGAACAGAGCTGGAGCTATGTATTTTGATATAAGTATCACTGGGAGTGTAGTGTATGTATCACATAATGTACGAAAAGTACTAAATAGTACTACCACAATGGTACTACTAATAGTACTACTACTAATTAATATTTAGAAACTTAATGGGTATAGCACAACTATCAATGATGTCATCGATTTATAGAGTCCTTATGTGACATGGCTTGGAATATTTTCCATTCAAATAGGCTGTAATTTAGAATTTTTGAATTTGTTTTTATGGATCTAGTTTTGTCCACCTCAAGCTTACTTTGTCATTTAGACTGTAATGCATCAAATGTTGGGGTCCCCATAACAGTGAATTTTTTGATCAGAGTAAAATTCTATGTCTATTATAGACAGAAATGGTTCGAAAAGTAAAGAAGCGACTTGATCGAAACCCGCGTCGCAGTAACCGAAAAATGGCTCGTGAGCTGAACAATATTCCATTCGGTAGATATTGAAAAATGAGCTCGGGGTAAAGTCATTGAAATTCCAAAGAGTGCAAGAACTTATACCGCAACAGAATGAAAATAGACTCAAAAAAACTAAAGTGTTGCTTCGCTTGGCCGAAAGTGGTGAACTGCCGAATTTGGTTTTCTACGATGAGAAAACTTGCGTTGTCCAGCAGTTTGTAAACAAACAAAATGATCGTGTTTACTTGCCAAAGAGGTCAGTTGAAAATGTGCACTTTCGGTTGGTGATGGCGTGGGCCTCTATAAAAGCCGATTGTAGCTCTCCGCTCGACCGTGGCATCAGAATAAATGACGAATATTATCGCGAAAATATTCTGGAGGGTGTATTAAAGCCTTGGGCATGCAAATATTTTGGCCGCAGACCTTGGACATTCCAACAGAACTCAGTACCATCGCACTCAGCACGCGCCACCCAAGAATGGTTACAAAATGAGGTTGCTTGCTTCTTTTTCAGCGCACAATGACCACCAAAATCTCCGGATACAAATCCGTTGGATTGTGTCTGGAGTATTTTGGAAACCAAGGTTGGCACTAAAAAAATACCAAAGTGTCGATCACCTCAAGTAAGCGCTTCGTCTGGAATGGGCCAAAATACCGCAGAGCTACATTCCGGCGGCGTGTGACGTTTTCATTGGCCATTTGAAGGCCATAAATTGTGCCAAAGGTGACCAATTAGAACAAATCTAAACTTATTCTAAAATTGGATGCTTTTTCGGATATTTTTCTGCTTTCATTATATAAAATTTAAAAAAATGTAAAAATTATGCCGTTTGACTTTTTTGAGGTTTTTTATCTCACCCTGTACTTATTAACACGCGATCTGTTGTGAAGATGGTAGATATCGGTCCAATTCTTCTGGCACCTCCTCCACAAAGGGAATAACCACAACGACTTAAAATTGCACATATCCCAATATTTCTACTAACATAATAAGTGATATGAAGATGGAATATATAGGACTACTCCTTCTGGTACCTCAACGGGTCAAATTTTAGAATAACCCAAACTCCCATAAGACGCGAAAAAACATCTGATTCATTCATTCAGCTTCACCCATTTCAATATTTCCACTAACACAAGATGTGGTGCGAAAATGACATATATCGGTTCACTCCTTCTAGTATCTTCCCCACAACAGGTCAAAATGTTGAATAATTATATCTCTCATAAAATTTGAAACAGCTCAGCGATATTTTTCAAACTTGGTTTATTTAAATATTTCTCTCAATCAGAGATCTAATGTTAATATGGAATTTATTTGTCCACCCCTTCTAATACCTTCCTCACATGGGGTGAACATTTTGGAAAATTATAATCTCTATAAAATGCGAAACAAAGCTGTGATTTTCATCAAACTTCGTGTATTTTAATACCATAGATAACTTTTTACTCCCATCTCTACTTTTGCATACCCTCAACCTAATTTTGGAGGTTAATACTTTGCCATTCCGTTGAAACTCCCAGAAATTCTCTCTTTAGACCCTACAATATATCTATTTTTTTGATCAGCGATTGGCGATGTCCTTCTGTCTGCTGAAATGATGATGTCTTCAGAACGATTTGAGCAGAAGGTTAACAGTTCGTCAAGTTCGTAACTGGATCATCTCGGTCTACGTTTTCGTATACTTTGAGGACCACATTTTGTAACCGAATTGTCTTCGTAGTTAGAGTTTGTACCGGGTTCTATCACAGATTGCAGAACGCTGCCTTTTTCCTAGCTCTATTTTGAAATCAAATTATAATTTGGTATGTAGTAATTTTAATGAGTTCTACCTTCCGTGGCATAAGACTACCCCCATATGACAACATCTCTCGATTTGAATTTTGATGATTGTTTCAAATTTGAGTTTTAAAGTTCGCAATAGATAACAACCTCTGTAGCAAATTGTAAATGCCATTTTAGGATATTTTGAAAACTTCTACTGCTTTCTCTAACTGATTTAAAAAATGGAAATAACTTAAGTAGTCAATCAATAATGTTCGGCTATTTCAAGATGTAGATAATATTCTAATTTTGTTATTCTTCTATTTTTAAAATTTAATCTACATTATCACACTAAATTGTCACGCCTTTTTCTATACCCTCCACCATTCCACGGAGGGTATGTTAGCTTTATCATTCCATTTGTAACTCCTCAAAATATTCATTATAGACCCTACAAAGTACATATATTCTGGATCAGCGTAAAATTCGAAGATGATTTAATGTCCGTCTGTCTGTGTGTCCGTCTGTCTGTGTGTCCGTCTGTTATAATCAAGCTATATTTCTATTTTGCACACATATGTATTTTGCCAGTAGGCAGGTTGAGTTCGTAAATCGGCCATTTCGGTGCATGCTTTCATATAGACCCCATATAACGGTACCTCCCTATATTCGGTATTTTGATGGTTTTAGCTACATTATTCACCCGAATTGCTTCAAATTTCGTATTCGAAGTTTTTAATGGGTACTACAGTCTATGCCTAAAAATTTCGTATGCAGGTCCACGCCTTTGTATAGCCCCCATATAACGGTATCTTCCTTTATTAGGTAATTTGATGATTTTAGCAACATTATTCGCCGGAATTGTTTCAAATTTGGTATTTGAAGTTTGTAACGGATACTGCACACTAAGGCAGAAAATTGTCTGTGCAGGTCCACGTCTTCATATAGCCCCCATATAACGGTACCTCCCGATATTCGGTATTTTAATGATTTTAGGGACATTATTCGTAGTGGATACTATAGCCTATGATAGAAAATAGCCCCTATATAACGGTACCTCCCAAAAATTTGGAATTTTGATGATTTTAGCTTCATTTTTCACCGGAATTGTTTCATGTTACGACTGGAAAATACAGTCTGTGACAGAAAATTGTCTGTGCAGGTCCACATTTTGGTATAGCCCCCATATAATAGTACCCCCCCCCATAATGATGATTTTCGCTACATTATTCACCGATTTTTTCAACTTTCGCATTTGAATATTGTCATGGTTTATGACAAAAGTTGCCTTTGCAGGCCCACGTAGTCGTTTAGACTCTAATATGACGGCTACATTTGGTATTTTTAAGATATTAACAGAATTTTTAACGGATTATTTTATTTATTTATTTTTTTTTTTTTTTGAAAATTGCCAAATTCGTTCCAAATGGTGGATGGTATTTAAAGTTCGGCACGGCCGAACTTACAGCTTATTTACTAGATTGTTTTTTTTTTTTTTTTTTTTTTTGAAATCCGAAACTTTTTTTTCGAATCTTGATGGTGAGCTTTGATATTAATTTGAAAATCTTACAGGATTCGTTTAAGGTCTTGAGGAACTTCCCTTTAATATAAGGTGCTACAGGATATGAGTGCTCGGCTCAGTCCATCTAAAATCTTTGTTGCCTTGTCCCAGTATTTGGAAGCTACCAAATTACATATCACAAAACTTACCTCTTTCGAATTCCATGTACTATTCTGACCGAATGTAAACTCAAATAGCTCCAAACAATGTGAACGGTATTCCATTAATTTGTGGTAGGTATCAGCGCAATTGCCACTCAAGGGTTCATCAAATTTAAATTTGTCCATACACTTTTCCTCAAAGGCCTCATCGATGTCGTCCCATAAATCCAAGAATTTGTTACTCTAAAAAAAACACAAAAATGTATTACTAAATTCATATCAAGGTGTATAAAATGGTCTACTTACATCCAAACCTCGGGTTGATAAATTCATCAAGCCCAATTTATAGAGGAAGCACTGTAAGAAACACTGGGTGTCATGAGTGTTGGTAAAATTATGAAAATCCGCCTGAGGATATGTTTGTAAGCAACGCATGCGGGCAAAGCGTTTTAGAGATTCCGGTAAACTAAAGTCTTTGCTTATATTCTGCAAAAGGGAGAATACATTTATTCAATCCAGGAAAATATATTTTTTTTCTTACCGAAAATGCATCATAATCTGTATCCCCACATGAGGCTTTCGCACTTATTAATATAATTATTTGGAAAAACATCAATTTATAAATATTCATTGTGTATTATTGAAAACAATGATTCACATTAATTACTTTTAACAATAATTTAAATGGCATTGCTCAAAAAACGTACCCCAACACGTCGGGCAATAAACATTTTTTTCTTTAAAATGTAGAAGTTGTATTCAACAATGGTTACGAAGTACTGGGTCAACTTTATTTTTTGTTCTGATAAGAACTCTCGGCCAAGACCAAAGATTTTTTTTGTTTTAAATAACTGTTGAAGAGCACAGCCGTGCAAGAGAGCCAGCGAACTCATATTGAATTGATATTGTTATCAAATGATACGTTACGTTTATTCTATTATTATTTTTGTGTAATAAATTTATAGTGGAAGGGACGGACACAATGGTTGTTGAGGGCCATAAAATGTAAATAAATTTCAAATGGGTATGATATCGGGGTTCATGTTTAAAATAGAACAATTTTCGCAACTAACTTTGGTATTACACAAATATTTCAATATGTAGAATTTTATCAAAATAACAGTAATCAAAAAAAAAAGCTGTAAGTTCGGCCGGGGCGAACTTTGAATACCCTCCACCATTTGGTATAAATTTGGCAATTTTCAAAAAAAAATCCGTTAAAAATTCTGTTAAAATCTTAAAAATACCGAATATAGCCGTATATTAGGGTCTATGGACGACGACGTGGACCTGCAACTTTTGTCACAAGCTATTACAATATTCAAATGCGAAATTTGAAAAAAAGTCTGTTCATAATGTAGCTAAAATCATCAAAATACCGAAAATGGGGAAGTACCATCGGGGTTATAAAACGTGGACCTGCGCAGACAATTTTCTGTCATAGGCTGTAGTATGTGGGGGGCACACGAAAACGTGGACCTACATGGCTCATTTTCCGTTTTATGCTGAAGCATCTATTACGAACTTCAAATTCCAAATTTGAAACAATTCCGGCAAATAATGTCGCTAAACTCATCAAAATACCGAATATCGGGGGGTACCGTTATATGGGGGCTATACGAAGTCGTGGACCTACATGGCCCATTTTCAATACAAAAAATCCTGCAGGCATAATACATATTTGAGTAAAATTTTATCAACCTACTTCATTTCGTCGGAAGCTAGAGTGATTTCCACATACGGGCAGATGGACAAACATCGCTAAATCGACAGAGAATTTTATGCTGATCAATTGTTGGGTCTAAAATGTATATTTCGAGGCATTACAAACGGAATGACAAACTTAATATACCCTCCATACTATGGTGGAGGGTATAAAAAACCGAAAAAACTTAGCATATTACACCGATACGTCTAAGTGACCTAAATAGAGAGAAAAGTTCCCCCATCTTCCACATATTCTTAAAATTAGATTAACCGTTTCTGCAGTAGGTAAAGGAGGAAATGCACATATATGACCTTGCCATCGCACTTCAGCACGCGCCACCCTAGAAAGGTTACAAAATGAGGTTCCTCGCTTCATTTCCAGTACACAATGGCCACCAAAATCTCCGGATACCGATCCGTTGGACTATTGTGTCTGGAGTATTTTGGAAAGCAAGGTTGGCACAAAAAAATACTAAAGAGTCGATCACCTCAAGTAAGCGCTTCGCCGGGAATGGGCCAAAATACCGCAGAGCAACATTGGGGCAGCTTGTGACGGTTTCATTGGCGGTTTGAAGGCCATAATTCGTGCCAAAGGTGACTAATTCGAACAAATCTAAACTTATTCTAAAATTTGATGCTATTTCCGACATATTTTGCTTTCATTGAACTAATAAAAAAATTAAAATTATGACTTTGTTACACTTTTTTTCTTACCCTCTATACACCCCCTTTTAATACGAGATCTAATGTTCTTAAAATATCGGTATTTGTAAAGTAATTTGAGAGGTGATCGCCGAATACTATTATTGAGGTAGGGGATTGAAATTCTGTTAACATGTGTCTAATTCGGATTATGTGCCCTCGGGTACATAATCCAGGGTATTAAAAGTAGGGCCCAGCCGGATATGACTTATATACTTGTTTTTGAGTTAAACGCTTATTAATGCATCCCGTGCATTTTTTATACGGCCAAAACATGTCTCATCGAAATAACGGTTTTAGACCCTAGATCTATTTGGACCAAATCCGTTTTATGATATTTGGATTCGTTCTAGCAACGTTCGCGCATCCGTCCGTCTGGCTCGTGCACACAACAACTCTCGAAAGGAGTTGCCGATTTGGTGAAAACTTGGTACATCCTTATATTATTATCAAACATAGATCAAGTTCGAAGACGGGCAATATAGGTCCACTCCATGAAGTACATTCCCCACATAAAGTCGAAATTAAAAAAAAAAATATTTTACTGCAAAGAAAGAGAAAGGATATTCCGATTTTGCTCCAATTTTGCAAATCCTAATACTTGCATCAGTGCTAGGTCAGGTGCGAAAATGGACGATGTCGGTCCATATTTCACAATTTTGAATAATTTTAACTCTTATAAAATGTGATGTAAGAGTCCGACTGTCTACTAATTACACACATCACATATTTTTTACTAACCCAAGGTCTGTTGTGAAGATGAATATATATCGGTCCACTACTTCTGGTACCTCCTCAACAAAGGGCCAAAATTTTGAATAACTAAATCGATCATAAAATTCGAAAGAAGCTTCCGGTTCTCTTCATATTTCACACATCCCACTATTTCTAGCATATGATCTGCTGGGAAGAAGGGATATAACGGTCCGTTCCCTCTGTTACCACCCTAACAAAGGGTCAAAATTATGAATATTGATGAAACTCAAAGGGTCAAAATTTTTAACATACATAAAGCTCAAAAAACGCGAAATTAACATCGATAGGGTTTAAAATTTTGAAAAACAAAACGCTCAAAAAATACTTTTGTCTGGCATAACATGCCAAACAATTCTGCGATTCTTTACTACTTGGCATATCTAAATATTGGAATTTAATATTTTGAATAAAACAGGATATAAATGTTCGATTTTTTTTGTAACTTTGCCCATATCAATATTTTTATCTTTAATTGATGAGGTATGAATGTGGAATACTTCGGTCGACTATAACTAGTACCTCTCGCACATTTTGCAATTTTCTAAAAAAGATCACATATCTCATATCGATATAGTCTAAATCTGGAACGTCGCAATATATATTTCATATTTTTTTAGGTCCGACGATATTGTCCCATTGCTTTGGAACCTACCAACTAAACTGTGGAATTTTAATTTTTTCTAAAATATGCAAATTTTCAGGGTCTTAAGAATTTCTCTTCTGGGTATGTCCAACATTTTGCAGATTTCACATTCATAAAAAATCCGGTTCCAATAAAACTGATAGTTTTTTTCTATAACTTCCAAATTGAATATCTCCATTCCAACCCACATGAGACGGGATTATTGCCACCTCTCGCACATTTTGCAATTTTCTAAAAAAGATCACATATCTCATATCGATATAGTCTAAATCTGGAACGTCGCAATATATATTTCATATTTTTTTAGGTCCGACGATATTGTCCCATTGCTTTGGAACCTACCAACTAAACTGTGGAATTTTAATTTTTTCTAAAATATGCAAATTTTCAGGGTCTTAAGAATTTCTCTTCTGGGTATGTCCAACATTTTGCAGATTTCACATTCATAAAAAATCCGGTTCCAATAAAACTGATAGTTTTTTTCTATAACTTCCAAATTGAATATCTCCATTCCAACCCCCATGAGACGGGATTATTGAATAAATTTTTACATAAGCTTTAAAATAATAACTCTATTGTCAATATAAGTGGATCCGGGTCTTGTATCCGGACGTTCGGGTCAAAAGGAAGTATAGCTCAATATTTCTGTCAACCATAGATTCAAGGGAAATATGGGATATTTGGTCCATTCCTCCTCAAAATAAAATAAGTAATTAACAACTAATTAATTAAAATTAGAAATAAGAACATTTTTAACACCCCAAAAATTTGTATCAGTGTTATAACAAAAAGTTTAATATTCAAAAAAAAAAAAAAAAAACAAAAAAACAAAAAAAAAAAAAAGAAATATATATATATATATATATACATATATATATATATATATATATATATATATATATATATATATATATATATATATATATATATATATATATATATATATATATATATATATATATATATATATCATCTAAAGGGAAGAAAGTACACGATGCAGTCCGAAACTGACACATTGCAATCTAAATATCAGACTTATAAATGGTCATACTCTGGAGCTATACATCTGTCTACAATACCGATTGATACTCTCTATTTTTTTTCCTTAAGTTTATAAATTTCAATTTCAAACAGTCCATAACTTTTATCTCTATACCCTCTCGATTGTAAATGCTAGTAATTTACACACTCGACTTGTTTCAGCGCCTCTGTTTGATCAGAGAACATCAACAAACATTATTCTTTATCAAAACATTGTAGATATGACTAATGGAAGAAAACAAACGATAACTATCTCAAAAAGTGCCTATGTTCAAAGTCCTACAGCTAGAGCAGCTTTGGCAAAACTATCAAGAGAGGCAAGTATGCTGAAAAGGGCACTTATTGTGTTTTCATTGCAGTTTCATATAAAAATCATACCAAATTTTACATGAACATTTTCAACAAAAAGTCTTCGAAATATTTGATATTTGAAGTTTACGGAGGTGGATATTAGTAAAGCCATTACACAATGCATTCACATCCAAATTTTCTGTTCAAAACTATTTTAATGCTCCGTATGTAAACCATAGAAACCAAAGGTGACCTAAATATTAAATCTCAGAATTTCAACACCACTCCGTCAGTGACTCTCATTTCAAATTTAAGAATTCCGGCTCCATCGATTCATCAAATGTCCAATTTAACCCAAATTTATTACACATAGCACGCTGAAAACTCAATATTTAAGGAGTTATGGCTATTTTAGAATATTCAATAATTCATGCCCAAAAAAAGTTATCACAAATAATAGATAAAAACGCTGAAAACTCTATATGTAAGGAGTTATGGCCATTTCAAAGTACGGAATAATTCATGCCTAAAAAAGTGATCACAAATAATAGCTAAAAACGCTGAAAACTCAATATTTAAGGAGTTATGGCCATTTTAAAATATTTAATACTTCAGGCGTAAAAAAGTGATCACAAATAATAGCTAAAACCG